TCTACTGAGCAAGTTCCAGGACAGCCAGGATGGTTACACAGAGAAACCCTGTCTTGAAAACAAACAAACAAACAAACACAGAAATAAGAAATACCACTAACAGGAAACAGGGTCCTGAATTGTAGGGCAGGGGAAAAGGAAAGATCTGGAAATTGCCTTCCAAGGGTTCCCAGATAAGCACAAACAGTGACAAATACCATCTGGTGACAGGGTTTTAAAGTATCAGAGCCTTAGAGAAAGTGACAAATGTGGCAGGTGAATTCTCCCAGCAGAGGAAGCAAAATGTGGATGGAAATAGAAATTGGCTTTCAGTTTCCTATCAGTGTATTTTAGAGGCTGTCTTGTAGCCATGACAGCTTGATGTTTGTGACTAAGGGAATGATGAGGGAGCATTTTAAGGAGGAACACTCCTCCTGAGTCTCAGAAGACCAGTGTGGCTCCGGATACTGGCCTGTGAGCCCATTGCATCAGCCACAGGAAGGACTGGTTTTTCTCAGAACTGGGGGAGAGGGGGTTGGATGGGGGAAGTTGGGAGCAGGGCTGGATAAGAAGACTGACCAGCTTCCTGGGTCCACTCTGGTCTGAACTTCACACAAAGCCTGTAACAGTCCTGCTTGAGGTTCCCTGAACAGCAAAGACTCATATTACAGCCAGCACTAAGCAGAAAGCACCCGGACCTCTTGGTATGGCTGAGGACTCCAGGGGAAGGTCCCTGCCCCATCTTCAACACACAGTCCTTAGACCCTTGAATTTCTTTTAGCTTGAAAATTTTCCATTCAGCTCAATTCTTCCAGTTTCTAGGTAGAAGACTGAGGCCTGTGGCGTATAGAGCCAGCTGTCCCTTTAAGAAGTGTTTTGGGTGTGGATAGCACTTGTTCCTTGGTCTTGGGGGATATACCACAGAAGCTGCACATCTACTGTCTTCTTCCCAGGGATAACAGGCTGGGCAGACCTGAGAGGCTGCTTGGCTGGTTTTTGAAACATCGGGGGCTGCTGCTCTACAGGTCACATGAGTGACTCTGGCTTGTTACCTTATTTTATCATCTTCTCCCTAATGTACATCACAATGTTGGCAGAGCAGTGAGGCAACCAGATTTCATGTGTTCATCATGGCTCTCCTCCCCAACCTTGATTGCCTAGCGTGCAATTAGGACACAGTGCTGGCACACAGGGGCCTCTGGTGTGCGTCTTCTCTAGAGCACATGGTGTGGGAGCAGGAGCAGGGCAGATCACAGATAGAAGGCCTCTGACACTGGGGTTTGTGTGCTAGAGGTCAGACTCAAGGCCTTATACAAAACCATCTGCTACTAAGCTACACCCTCAACTCTGAAATGCTTCCAACTCTGGACCTCATCAGTCAGGACTGGAGGGAAACTGTTAAGGAAAACAGCCTAGGAGGTGGGGGTAGATGGTTCAGTGGTAGGATGCATGCCCAAGAAGGCCCTGAACTTGACCTGAGCTGGAAGGGGGAAGGAGGAGAAGAGGAGAGGACAGAAGGGGAGGGGAGAGAGGGAGAGGGAGAGATTCCTAGCAGCCTAGCAGAACAGTCTGGGGTCCACAGACATTATGTGACAAATGTGCATGTAGAAATCACGTTTAAACTGGAAAGGCTGTCCCTACTTTGGTCTGTAGCCACGTGGGCTCAGGGCCAGGTGAGGTTACTTGGGGCCTGGCAGCTGGGTACCACTTGCTCATCTTACCCTTGCACTGCACTCACATGTTGTTCCTGGCCAGGCCCTTGACCCCAGTCCCTCTGGGGCCAATTCAGTTTGTCTAGCTTGGGGCACTAGGGTGAGGTTTTTCCAGGAGTCACGTCAGTCAGCCTTGGTTTCTCCATGTGGTTGTACTCTTGGAAAAGCAGACTAGAGAGAGAGAGAGAGAGAGAGAGAGAGAGAGAGAGAGAGAGAGAGAGTGTGTGTGTGTGTGTGTGTGTGTGTGTGTGTGTGTGTGTGTGTGTGTGTGTGTGTTGAAGAATCTTGGAGCCCAGAGCCTCATTGTTGCTAGGCCAGGACAGGCCTTACCTGAAGAGCTCTCTTCAGCCCAAGGCTAGGGAAATCAACGGAAGCTTGAGGACTAGGACTACTCTTCCCTCCTTTCTGAGGGCCTTGTGCCTGCCTCAACCTAGCTGGATCAGATATGGCATCTATAAGAGCAGGAACACTATACTCCAAAGACCCTGTTTCTCCTTCCTGCCTCCCTTCTTTGTCCAATGCTAGAATTTGCCTGAATACAGCCTTAGAACTACTGCCTTGTCTTTGGGCAAGTGTGTGTGGGTGCAAGTGTGTATGCATGCATGTAAAGGCCAAAGTTCAACCTTGGGTGTCATTCCTCAGGAGCCCCTCCACCCTTTGGGACTGAGACCCGGTGATCACCAATTTAGCTGGGCTTTCCAGCCCAATAGGCAGAGTCCTTAGTGCTGGGATTGCAAGCACACACAAGCACACCCAGCTCTTTATATGGATAGTGCTGGAGGGCAAACTCGGCCTAATGTCTTTGCAGCAAGCACTTCACAGCTGAGCTATCCCCCAGCTTAGTCTGTTGGCTGACATAACACATGAGCTGGTCACTGTTTATCCAGGGATTTCTGGCTGCCATGGAGACCTGGAGGCCATCTTGCTCAGTAGTTTTCTGGTCCTGCAGACACTTCTCAGTCCTTCCTGTGATTCCTACGCGTTCAGTGCTGGTTCATGCACACATTCTTTTACTCACTTGATTGCTAAGCCACATTCTCCTCTCCTACTTACACACTCACTCACTCTGTCCCTTTGCTTCAAACCCAGAAATGTGTCTGGGAATTAGCCAGCCTCAGGTGGGACTTAAAATGCACCAGGCAAGGGAGGCCTCGCCTGTAATACCAGCACTTGGGAGGCAAAGACAGGCAGATCTCTGTAAATTCAAAGCCAGCCTGGCCTACTGAGTGACTTCCAGGACAGTCAGGGCTGCACAGAGAAACCCTGTCTCAAAAAACCAAAATAACAACAAAACTGTGAGACATGAAGGCCAGGAACTCAGGGGGACCCCTGCTCTTGAATCTAAGGCACGAGGCCATAGCAAAGACTAGCCTTTGTGTTTTCTAACACAGCAGAAGAGGCCCAGGGATGACCTGGCCACTGGGTCAAAGGGACAGGAGGCAGCCACTCCAGAGGCTTCAGGGGCCCTTCTGGCTCTTCTCCATGCCACGCTGGAGGCAGCTCTCCCAGGCCTGACCACAACAGAACACTTTGTTTGCCAGTTCTCCCTTGTGGCCCTGGGCTTGGGCACTAAGGCAGAGGGTAATGCCCTTAGGGACCGGGATGTGGATTCAAAAGGAGTTACACAACCAGGGCTGGAAAGACCTTCCCTTGGAGATTTCCACACCAGTCCTGCTGCACAGCAAACTGAGTGGCACCAGGACCCTAATGACAGTGTCCTGCCTCACAGCATGAGCACTGGAAGAAATTCTCTTCAGAAAGTACCAAACACATGACTATAAGGCTTGAAGGTCATAAGTAAAACATTAACTTGAAAGAGCTTTTTTTGCTGCCACAGAGGGCCCAGGTTCAGCATTCAGCACTCATATGATGTCTTGGAACATCTGTAAATCTAGTTCCAGAGGATCCAGCACCCTCTCACTCTCTTTTGGCCTCTGTAGGAATCCAGCACGAACTCCCCTTCCCCCCCCCAGGCAAACATTCATAGACATAAACTAAAAAAAATACATATTTTTTCTTTGAGATAGGGTTTCTCTGTGTAGCCTTGCCTGTCCTGGAACTCACTCTGTGGACCAGGCTGGCTTCAAACTCACAGAGATCTGCCTGCCTCTGCCTCTGCCTCCCAAGTGCTGGGATTAAAGGCATGTGCCACCACCCGCCAAAAATAATACATCTTTAAAGGGGGTTGGAGTGGTGGCTCAGACGTTAAGGGCACTGGTTGTTCTTTCAGAGGACCTGGGTTTGATTCCCAGCACTTTCACAGTGGCTCACAACCGTCCGTGACTCCAGTTCTAGTGCTCAGAGTCCCTCTTCTGAGCTCTGCAGGCACGACACACATGTGGTTCACAGGTATGCATGCTGGCAAAACACTTGTTCATATAAAATAAAATGTTTGTGACTCAACCAACCAGAAGCCTCATTTCCTTAGTCCTGTTTCTTTATCTATCTATTATTTTTGTGTGATGTCATCAAATGCAGAGCCCCCACGTTACAAAGTCTACCACTGAGCTACATCTCCAAAGCCTAAATTGTGTTTGGTTTTAGTCTCGGTTTTCCTTGGGGCAACATTTTACTTTGTAGCCTAGGCTGACCTGGAACTCATTATTTAGCCCAGGCTGGCCTCAAACTGGTGGCAATCCCACTGCCTCAGCCTCCTGAGTGTTGGCATTATTAGTTCAAGTCACCAGAGCTGGCAAATTCTTTAATTTAATATATTAATTTTGAACAACTGCTCTTTCCCAATTTAGTTTAGGAAACAATTTGATGCAGAGTCTTTAACTACTGACAGTTATAGATGTCCTGGTCTGATGTGTCCTGCCAGCAGTTCTGTGGCAGACAGGTGCTTGGTGGAAAAGTACTCCTGCACAGAGTGCAGACTTAAGCCTGACTACACCCACTATGACTGGACTTAAAGCCCTGGTTTCAGGGCTCTTTGTCTTGCACCAAGCTGTTCCATTTCAGAATACTGTTCCTGTGTTCTTTTCATAGCCAGTTTACCTAGATTGAAGAAGTGAGCTGTGTGCATTAGGAAGGAAGCAAGCAGCAAAGAGGCAACTTGACTTAAGGTAACCTAAAAGAACTATTGATTGCCTGCAGTCAAGGGTACTGACTGCCAAAGGGACAAAGCTTCCTTTTAACTGGCTGGGCAAGCAGCTGAAGGAAGAGCTGGCCTCTCACTGAGGCAGTCATGCAGGCCTGAAATGACAAGCAGAAGGCTGGCAGTTTGTCCCTGGGTAGATGGATCACCTGATAGAGACACTAGGGACCAAACCCTGGGATTGGCTTAAAACAGGGTTATGCTGATCCAGTGGCTGGGCTTTGGCATCCTGTCAATCTGCTGTCTGCTCAAAAGCCTAGAAATAGTGCTGGGGCAGTCTACTGGATTCTGAGAGAGGAAGCAGCCATGCAAGTGCTCACTAAACGCTACCCCAAGAACTGCCTGCTGACTGTCATGGATCGGTACTCGGCTGTGGTTCGTAATATGGAGCAGGTGGTGATGATCCCCAGCCTTCTGAGAGATGTGCAGCTGAGTGGGCATGCGGGCTCGGTCCAGGAGGGAGCACCCGATCTCTATACCTACTTTACCATGCTCAAGACCATCTGTGTAGAAGTGGAGCACGGGCTGCTGCCAAGGGAGGAGTGGCAGGCCAAGGTGGCCGGCATCGAAGCTAGCGACACCGAGAATGAAGCTGTTGAGGCAGAGGAGAATGAGGAAGAGAGGATCTCAGGGGAGCTGGACCTAGAAGCCCAGTTTCATCTGCACTTCTCCAGCCTCCATCACATCCTCACCCACCTTACCCGCAAAGCCCAGGAGGTGACGAGGAAATACCAGGAAATGACAGGACAGGTCCTGTAGGCCTCCAACTCTAAGGAAGGTAATGACAGCCATGCCAGTGGGTTATAATCCATGAAGGGACCCAAGGGAGGAGATGAATGGTGGTATACCTCAGGAGGAGGAGTTCTCACGTCAAGGGTATTGGGACTATCAAGTGGGAAGGCCCACAACTGGACTTGGCTGCCTAGCATTCTCACACTATTGGTAAGCAATGACTGTGAACTCCTGCAGTAGAGAACAGAAATGTAGCCTATGAACACATCTCTCACATCTCAGCTGAGTATGTGGCTGTGTGTGTGTGTGCGCGCGCGTGCGCGTTTGTTAGTAAATATTCGTAGACTTGAATGAGTCTATTCTCAAGGAGAGAGGAAGGGTCTGGAATAAGCATAAAAGTAAACTCTTTAAAAGTAAATAAATAAAAATCTGACTATAGCTATGGATTGTCCCAGGGCATATAACACCCAGAGGCCACCTACAAATTCTAAGACCTCTGCTGCCATGTATTAGTATCTCCTTTGCACAGAGTGTCAGGAGTGGCCCCCAATTGCTGCGTAATTCCTGTATAAACCTACCAAGATGAAAGCAGCTTTTAGGATTTGATTATCTTTATGCTTCACAGACAGGGTCTCACTATGCCGTCCAGGTTGGTTATAAACTTGCCATCCTCCTGCATGTCCCTCAGATTCTGGGGTTGCAGATGGCACTGTGCCTGAATGCCAAAGACGAGGTTATTATTTTTGCTTTTATTTTGCAAGTGAAGATACTAACCAAGAGATATGTTTGTGTGTATGTGCATTGTGCCTTCTATGTGCATGTGCCTGCACTGTGTCAGAATATGAAAAACTGCCCTTTCCTGGCACAAAGGATCTCACAGTGCTGAAACTGACAGGGGTGTTCCAACCATCACAGATTGCAACTGGACACACAGCAACTATCTTGAGTTATTCCAGTCACACGAGGGTGTGGGAATCGCCGAGCACATTTGCCCATGCACAGAGGTTGGGACTGTGAATCCAGAATAAAGAGCAAGCAAACAAGTCATGGAAGAGGAAGCATGTAGGAAAAGGGCCTGGGCCATGGGTCCCTCACAGCAGGGACTGGGAGAAATCAGCATGTGCTGTTTCTGATCATGGCCCATCTGCCAGCCCCATTTCAGTCCCTTATGTAAGACTGAGACTAGGTTTGCACCTGCAGGGTGGGGTAAGATGCCTGGGCAGGGAAGACACCTGTCCCCAAGTCTCACAACCCGATTTTGATCCCTGGAACTAAAAAGAGGATCAATGTCTACAAGTTGTCCTCTGTCCTCCATATGTGCATTGTGGCCTGTGTGTTGCCACTTCCCCAAAAATAAATGTGGAAGAACTGTTCCTTCCTTTGCTAGTAAGGAAATTAAAGTTGGAAAATTGAGTGACTCATCTGAAATCACGTAGTTAGTAAAGGGACAAAAAGCCAAATGAGACATGGCATTCTGGCACTCAGAAGCAGAGGCAGGTGGATCTCTTTGAGTTCAAGGCTATCCTGGTCTACAGAGTGAGTTCCAGGACAGCCAGGGCGACACAGAGAAACCCTGTCTTGAAAAATAAAAAACAAAGCAAAACAAGAAACCAAAACAAACAAGCAAAACCCCTAAACTTAACCAAACAAGCAAGCATACAAAAAGCAAAACTGGCCTGATTTTTAGCTGAGGGTACTTTCCATCATACTTTGTGCCATTTTGGAAAGATAGGGAGTCAATGCACCATCTACTGTCAGAGACCAGATGGAAATTCTGCCCTGGGTACTTTCCTAGCTATTTTCCTTTCTCCATGTCAAACCTGAACTGTCAACTTCAGCCCTCTTTCCGTTTTCCCTTGAGGTTTCCTGGGCTGCCTTCCAAAGGAGCTCCTTGAATACAACTAGGCTGGGGTAACAGCCAGGAGCCTCAGGCAAACTGAGCCTCAATCCTGCTCATGCATAAACAATGAAGAGCGAGCTGTGAATGCTGATGAGGAGCTACTGCCAATCCTTATGTGTTTCTTTTCTGCACATTACAGAGTAATGATTAGCACTTGAATAGTGTTTCAATCACTTGTATATTAATTATTCAATGAACTATCAATACTTGAAAATTTTGTTGTTACTGAATGGTTGGGGATTTAGCTTAGTCACTGAACACTTTGCCTAGCAAGCTGAAGATCCTGGGTCTGGTCCTCAACCCCTCCTCCTGGGGGGTGGGAGAACTTTTTATTACTAATGTGTGTGTATGATGTGTGTGCAAGCACAGACAGGCTCCTGTGCCACATGGGGCAACTTCTGGAAGCTTGTCTCTCCTTCCACTAAGGGTTCCAGAGAACACAGTCAGGCTATCCAGGATTGTGCTCCCAGTGTTCTTAGCTGCTAAGCCATCTTGCCAGTCCACATTTTAAAAATACCTTTTATAGAAATTGGAGACCTGTTAGGCATGGTGGTGCATGTCTATAATTCCAGCATTTGGAAGGTAGAGAGAGGCAAGAGAATCAAAAGTTCAAGACCACCACAGGCTACATAACATGCATTAGGTCAGCCTGCACTACACAACTTCCTGTCTCAAAATCCAATCCAAACCAAACCAACCAACCAATCAAACAAACAAGCAAAAGCCCCAGGGGACTGAGAAAATAAGCTCCTGAATTGCTTGCCCCAGTTCGACTCAGTTTGGGGACAGCAGAGGGGGTAAAAATCACATTCTCCAACTAACCAGACAGCTTTGCAGGCCAGAGCAGCACATCTATACTGTAATAGTTCAACAGCTCTGACATGGTTTTCACTCATGGAGGCAGTATGGTATGTAAGTTAAAAAACCTGGGCTCCTCTCTTAGCTCCACCTGAGATTGCACCCTAGGCCTCTATGGAGCCTTGCTGCTTCTCACAAAGCAGCTTAGCTTTGAGAAGCCGCAATACCTCAGGTTGGAAGTGTTACCAGCTTTCAAACAGCAACACCAGAATTTTTGGTCTTACTCTAGTTGAGTAAGCATGGATAGTAGTTATTTGAAATTACAGATAATGTTCATAGAGCTCTCGCCAGGTTTCCTGTTGCCCTCTCAAATCTCATCTTTTGCTCTCCATAGCCCATGTACCTGACAGGGCAGCTGAGCAGAGGAATGAGGGGCACTCAGAGGTCAGAGTCTTCCATGGACCTAAAAGAATGAACCTCCATCTGTACCCACTCCCAACAGCGCTTCAAGTCCAGGCTTTGACATTACCTTGTTCTGGAAGGTCTCCTGGAAGGAGCCTTGGCCCCTCTACACCCACAAGCTTCTTAAACTCTGGCTCATGGACCATGTGGAGTCTTATAACTGAAAACTTTTTTTTTTTTTTTTCTTCTTTTCAAGACAGTCTGACTTTGAACTTAGAGATCCACCTGCCTCTGCCTTTCAAGTGCTGGGGCTAAAGGTTTGCGCCACCACTGCCTGGCTTGACTACATTCTCTCCCTCCCTTTCTCCTTTTGACATTTGACTTTTTAAACATTTCCACATTCTACAGATTACTTTATCATGAGAGAGGGAAGACTGACAAGGACTCAACAGCCCAGCAGCCTTGGGACCAGAAGGGAAGGCCTGGACCCACTGGCAGTGAAGGGGACCTGTGTCTCTGGAATACTTCCCCACCTCCAGCTGATCGAGTTTGTGGGCTCAGTTGCAGGCTCACCCTTAAGATGTTTGCTTCGATTCCCAACTTCTCTTCCTTAGCAAGTGGCCAAAGTTCATGTCCCACCTCTTGGATGTCATTTAGTGCCCGGTGTCACAAGTTATTTATCCCAGGAGCCCAAATTCCCTCAAGTATGAAACAGATGCTTATCTACCTCACAAGGTTACTAAAAGAAAACACGGAATCAAAAGCACTTGACATGTGCCAACATTCTAACAGCTGGCATCTCCTAACGCTGGAACATATGCTGTATGTAGCTCCTGCTTTTCACCTCACAGAAGAAGCAAAGGTAGTAGAGTGTGTGCGATGAGCTACTCACCCTGTTGAATCTGATGAACACTGATGAGGCTGAGCACAGGTCAACTATGAACCTATTTATTGCAGTCATAATTAAAAAAAATATGGTGTGTTGGTGCGTCATCTTCTTTTTTTAAAAGTACTTTCTCTAATATAATTTCCACAAGTACACTCTTAAACACCAAATTCATCTGAGTTTCCCAGAAACAATGTTATATTCATAGTAACCTAATTTGAAATCAAATACCTACTAATTTTACTTCCCTCAAAAACCTAATCTGATTATATACAGGTTTGTAAAGAAAAAGAGAGAGGGGGGAGAGAGAGAGAGAGGTTGGGCAGCATTTGGATTTGATGAGCTGGAAAGAATTGGTTCTCTGGAGGCAAAGACAGGTGGAGCTCTGTGAGTTCCAGGATAGCCCAAGTTACATATTAAGACCCTGTATTGACAAGCACCTTCTATCTGCTAGGTGTGGTCTTCTAGTGTTGATGTTTTAACAGACACTGGCAGCCACCAAGCTGTCTTTTCCAGCATGATCCATCCAGGTACAAAGCATTGTCAACTATCCATCCTGTTGAAGCTCTCCAAACGCCACTTTGTATTATTACAGAGAGAACTCAGAAATACAAGCCTGTTGTTCTCATTAAAAGTGTTTAAGGGGGCCTGGTTAGATGGTGCACTGAGTAAGGATGATTGATTGCCCCAAGCCTGAAGACTTGAGTTTGATCCCTGGAAATCACATAAGGAAGTAACTAACTCCCACAAGTTGTCCTCCTCACATCTGGCATGGCAAATGCCTGTGCACACACCCTAAATAAGAAATGTAAATAAAAATCCTTTGTCGAGCCAAGAGTGATGACAAGTCTTACTTCTAATGCTTGAACTGAGGCTGGAGATCAAAAGTACATGGTCAGCTGGGCTACATAGGAATGAGATCTCATAAACAAAACCAAATAAAACATTCTGGTAATTTCCCAGGACTTATTGGAATCAAATTGAAATCTCTGTGTGTGGCACAAACCTTTTATAATCTTGCTTATTTTGTACCCTCCTTGCACCAGAAGAGTAGTAGGGGAATGTTGGTAAAGGGTCAGATACTATCTCAGACTTTATAGGCAAAATTGTCACTACTATTCAAGTTCATGGTTGTAGTATTAAAGCAGCCACAAACAAACACATACACAAATGAACATGGTTGCTTTCTAATAAAACTTTTCCCAGTCCTGGGGCTTCAGATATAGCTCAGTTGGTAGAGTTCTTGCCCAGCATGCATGGCTTCAGCCCCCAACACTGTATAAAGTAGGTATTGTATGGCATACCCATAACCCCACCACTGGGGAGACAGAGACAGGAGGAACACAAGTTGAAGGTCATCTTCTACTACACAGTGAGTTCAGAGCCATCCTGAACTAGAGACTGCCTCAAAAAAAAAAAAAAAAAAAAAAAAACAAAAAACAAAAAAACACTGCCCCATACCTTTATCAGCAGTATGCCAAATCTGATTCACATATTAGTTTTTCATTTATTTTTTTGTATTGCTAGGAATGGAACCAGTGGCTGTAGCTGCTAGGAAATATTCTACTGTAGATATACTCTACTGAGCTATATCCACAGTCTCTAAACTTAAAAATATTTCAACCGGGTGGTGGTGGTACACTCCTTTAATCTCAGCACTTGGAAGGCAGAGGCAGAATTTCTGTGAATTCAAGGCCAGCCTGGTCTACAAAACGAGTTCCAGGACAGCCTCCAAAGGTACACAGAGAAACTCAGTCTTGAAAAAATGAAGCCAAAACAATTTTTTTTTTCAACTAGGGGCTGAAGAGATGGCCCAGCAGTTAAGAACACTGGCTGCTCTGCCAGAGGATCAGGGTTTGATTCCCAGCACTCACATGGTGGCCAACCACCATCTGTAACTCCAGTTCTAAGGGGAATCCAGGATCCTCTTCTGGTCTGTGCATGCACTGCACACATACACACAGGCAAAACATGTACACATAAAACAAAACAAAACAAACAAACAAAAAGACTAATTAATTAATATGAAAAAAGAAAGGTCTGTATTGATATTAATAAACTGTTTTAAAAAAATATTTCCAACTAGAGGGAGGGGCTGGACAGATGGCTCAGCTCTTAAGTGCACTGGCTGCTCTTCCAGAGAACCCAGGTTCAATTCTCAGCATCCACATGGCAGCTCACAACTGTCTGTAATGCCAGTTGAAGGGGATCCTGTACCCTTTCCTGCCTGAGGGCACCCACTCTGTGCACAGACACACATGCAAGCAAAACAACGAAATACATAAAAATAAATGAGTCTTTAAAAAAAGAAATCTTTTAAGTGGGTTGGTAAGATGGCTTAGGGAGGGGTTAAAGGTTAAAGGACTGCCAACCCTAGAAATGGGAGTTTGAAAGAATTCCTGCAGGTTCCTTTCTGACCTTCACATGCATACATAATACATAGAATAAATGCACAATACTTTATGTAGGCGATGTTTTCCTGTGTCAGCAGCAGCTCTTGAATAACCACCCAGTCTTAATATTAATTATAAATGCTTGGCCAATAACTCAGGCTCCTTACTAGCTAACTCTGACATTTTTCAATTAACTCATATTTCTTATCTATGCTTTGCCATGTGGCTGGGTACCTTTTCTCAGTATGGTATGCCCATCTTGCTTCTCTGTTTGCTCTTGACTCCTGACTCTGCCCTTCTTCCTCCCAGCATTATCAATTTGGCTCTCCTGCCTAACCTTATCCTGTTCAGCCTTTGGCCAGTCAGCTTGTTTATTAAACCAATCACAGTGACATATATTCACACAATGTAAAGGAATAAATAGTCTACAACTTTAAGACTTTCAAATTTCTTAAAAATGGACAAATAAGCGGCCAAGGAGGTGGGTGGCTCTACGGGTAAAAGCACTTGACAACATGCCTGATGGCCTGAGTTCAATCCCTGGGTCTTAGCTGGTGGAAGAAAACTGACTCCTGCAAGATGTCCTGAGGGTCACACATGGCACATACAAGTGTTCTTGCTCTCTTACACACACACACAGTTTTTTTTTTTTTCTTTTGTAATAAACCAGTTTTCTTAAGAAAACAAAAAACAAGGATTCAGTGGGGTGGTGGTGGTGGCGCATGCTTTTTATTCCAGCACTTGGGAGGTAGAGGTGGGTGGATCTCTGGGAGCTCAAGGTCAGCCTGGTCTACACAGTGAGTCCCAGGACAGCCAGAGATGTTACACAGAGAAACCCTATCTCGAAAAACCACCACCACCACCAAGAAAAACAACAAAGGATTTGAAGAGGAGGAAGAATTATAGGAGCCACCAGAACATAGCCCATAGAATCAACTAAGAAGGGTTCATAGGGTTCACAGAGATTGAAGTGGCAATCACAGAGCTTGGTGTTTTGAGGTGACTTCTGACAGTGAGAATGGGGGCGTCTCTGACTTTCATCTGCTTTGGGGACCCTTTTCTTCCTACTGGGTTGCCTCGACCAGCCTTGATGTGAGGATTTATGTCTGATCTTACTATATCTTATTGTGCTATGTTCAGTTAATGTCTCTGGGAAGCCTGCTCTTTTTTGGGGGGCATGGGGGTGGAAATGGAGGAAATGGTAGATCTAGGGGAGAGGGCAGGTGTGGGGACTGGGAGAAGTGGAGGGAGGGGAAGCTGTGGTTGGAATGTAATGTATGAGAAAAAGAATAAATAAAGATTAAAACAAAACAAAATAAACAAGGATTCAGAAGCCAGCATTAGTGCTGGCAAACACCTATAATTCTAGCATTTGGGAGGCTGAAGTAGGATTGCTATTTTGAGGCCAGCCTGAACCACACAGCAAAACTCTGTCTCAAGATGAGTATGGCAGTATACTCCTGAAACCTCCAAAGTTAGGGGGTAGAGGTGGGAGGACCAGGGGTTCAAGGCCATTCTCAGGTATAAAGTGAGTTCAAGGTTAGCTGGGTTCTAGCAGACCCAGCCTTGAAACAAACAAACAAACAAACAAACAAACAAACAAACATTTACTTTTGGTTATTTATTGAAACATGGCCTCATAATGTAACCTTGGCTGACCTGGAACTTGCTATGTAGACCAGGCTGCCCCAAAACTCTTAGAGATCAACCTACTTCTCTCTACCTCCCAGAGCTAGAATTAATGGTGTATACCACCACAGCAGGCTGAATACATAAACACTTTAAAAACGAGCCTGCTGGTTCAGCAGTTAAGAGTGTATAATGCTCTTTCAAGGATGGGAATTCAGTTCCAAGCACACACATTGGGCAGCTCACAACCACTTCTATGAACTCCAGTCCCAGGGCATTTGACACCCCTCTGGTCTCCTTGGATGTAAGTATACAAACCTGCACCCCTCTCCCACATACATGGAGGCACTTGAGTACATAAACACACACGCTATTTTAACTATTTTAATTACACTGATTAACCTAAACTTCAACTCTCACACAGAGATATTCAACAAAATTCAGAAAATACTCAGGTCGTGGCGAACAGGAGCCTTTGAAGACTTCAACGCACTGGATGGAATACCTCAAGGATTTCACCATAAGTTTTCTTCTCTGTGAAAGAATCATAAAAGATGTGGCTCAGGAGTGGAACACTTGATGAGTGTGTATGAGGCCACAGGCATATTTCTCAGCATTCAAAAACAAAAACAAAACAAAACAAAACACAAATAAAGGTTGTGGTTTGGAGAGAGAGCTCAGCAATTAGGTGCACAGGCTGCTCACAAGTATCTGTGAGTCCAGTTCCATGGGGACCCAACATTCTCTTCTAGCTACATACATGGGAAAAATATCCATACACATATAATAATAATACATGAAGAGGTGGGGCCATGGAATGTGACTTGATAGTGAGAAGGGGCATTCAGAAAGGATATGTGTTTTATTTTGCTTGTTTTATGCAGCCCTGGCTGTCCTGGAACTCACTATGTAGATCAGGTTAGCCTTGAACTCACAGAGCTCTACCTGTCTCTGCCTCTGAGTGCTGGGATTAAAAGCATGCACTACCACCACCTGGCTGGATATGTTCTTATGAAAGACATTTTATATGGGTTCAGGAGACTCTGGTCTACTAAAGAATGTGTGGGAATCCATCAACCAGATAGTACTTGAAGCCATGGACATGGACAACATTACCAGGAAAAATGAGACAGAGTAAACAAAGAGGGTTTTCTTTCAATTAATAGGAAATACCTTTTTCAGGAAAATCTTCTGGATGTAATTTCATATACCCAAACATGTCATGGTCCCTCACTGCAAACAAATACTCTTGACGTTTTAAAACAAAATATCCAACAAAATAAAAGGAAGTAACATATAGAAGTTGGCGATGCAAACCTGCAATTGACAAACCCAAAAAACAAAAATCAGTCAAAGTGCATAAAGAATTTCATTTTTATGTTACACCTCTCCAACCCCACCCCTAGGGTCTCACACAGCCCAGATTAAAATTGGCACTTCAGTTCTTTCCTCTTTCTATCTTTCTCTGTCTCAGAGAATGGCATTACTGTTCACTAGAGTTGAGTTCTCTTCCATTGTATAACCTCTTTACCACACCCAGTTCTCCCCCTTCAGGCCAGAGCTACCTGCTCTGATCCAGCTTTGACCTGGTCACCTTTTACCCCCACCTCAAACTTCTTTCTGTGAAATACCATGCACTGGTGACTGCAGTGCCCAGCAACATTATCAACATGCTATAGCCTCAGATAGCAACAACTCTACAATGGCTTCCTATCATCATCATGCTATAGATAGCAACAACTCTAAAATGGCTTCCTAACTTGTGGAGTTCAAAGGGTGTGGTGGTTTGAAAGAAAATGGCCCTCATGGGTCTACAGGGAGGGGCACTATTAGGATTTGCATCTTTGTTGAAGGTGTATCACCAGGGGATGGATGGGCTATGAGGTCTCAGATGCTCAAGCCAGGCCCAGTGTGGCAGTCAGTCTCTTCCTGCTGCCTTTGATCCAGAGGCAGCACTTTCAGCTCCTCTCCAGCACCATGTATGCCTGTGTGCTGCTGTGCTTCCCATGATGACAATGGACTAAATCTCTGAACTGTAAGTCATCCCCAATTAAATGGTTTCCTTTATAAGAGTTGCTGTGGTCATGGTGTATCTTCACAAATGGAGAGATGGCTCAGTGGTTAAGAGCATTAACTGTTCTTCCAGAGGATGAGGGTTCAATTCCCAGCATCTACATGGCAGCTCACAACTGTCTATAACTCCAGGTTCAGGGGATCTGGCACCTTCACACAGACATACATGTGAATAAATTATCAATGCACATAACAATAAATAAACCTTTTAAAAAAGATCATAATTTGTTCCTGTCTCTACCATAAGGGCAAGCAATGTCTAATTAATGCATCTGGATGGACCAATCATCATAGAGCACCTAACCTATATCTATTAAATTAATGAATGGCTTTGAGCAAGTAAAGTTACTACCTCTGAAAAAAGAAAATACCTAGTAGGTGGTGGTGGCAGCACACACCTTTTTTTAATCCCAACATTTATGAGGAGGTGGATCTCTCATTTCTGATTTCAAGGCCAGTCTGGTGTAGAGCACAAAATTCCATGACAGCCAGGTCAACACAGAGAAATTCTGTCTTGAAAAAACAAAACCCAACCAAATAACAACAAAAAATACCTACTTAACCTTTCTCATTCTAGTAATACACAAATCAAGTTAAAATGTATATAAAGGAATTTTGGGAAATGTGGAAAGCAATAAAAATATAAGGTAAAAAAAATACTTAATTTTTATTTGTGTATGTGCCTAAGCATATATGTATTTGTACCAATGAATGCAATAACCTGTGCAGGTTAAAAGAGGATGTTGGATCCTCTAGAACTCAAGTTACAGGCATTTGTGAGCCATCATGTGAATACTGAAAATCAAACCTGGGCCCTCTGTAAGAGCAGTCAGTGATCTTAACCACTGAGCCACCTCTCTAGCCTCACAAGTTATTCTTATAGTTTGTGACTGCAGAGAATCCAGGTTCTTTTGTTGTTTCAAGGTCTGATTTCCTTGTGTAGTCCTGGCTGTCCTGGAACTCACTTTGTAGACCAAGCTGGCCTCAAACTCACAGAGATCTACCTGCGTCTGCCTTTCAAGTGCTGAGAATAAGGTGAGTGCCTCCACCACCTGGGTGGGTCCAGGTTCTGCTTCAAATAGCTGTGAGTTCCCCAAACTGGTTCTCTGAGCCAGTGAGGCAGTGCTCCAAGCCCTCCAGTGTGCCACTGAACTACACAACGGCCCAGACTCTACAGTGACCCGCACTTCTCAACAGAAGACATTACACATGTTTTAGATATTGATGCCAGGACCCAAGGAATGGCTTGGCCTTTCTCCAGTTTCCACTTCCCCAGCTTCCTTTCTGGAGTTTTCCTCCACAATCACTTTTCCTTTCTTTCCTTTATTTGAGGGACCTAAACCTGGAAGCCATTGTGCTATTTACAAATGATACATTACCAATATTACACTAAAAATCAGCAAACATTTAATTTTTAGACTGAATTACTAACTGACTTGAAGTGGTGATCAACAAGGTTTTTTGTTTGTTTGTTTGGTTTTCAAGACAGGGCTTCTCTGTGTATCTCTGACTGGCCTGGAACTCTCTGTAGACCAGGCCAGCTTTGAACTCAGAGATCTGCCTGCCTCTGCCACCTGAGTGCTGGGATTAAAGGCATGAACCACCACCATCTGCAAATATAAAAATTATTTTTCCCTCCAAAGGTTTTTAAACATAGGTGACAGACAACAGAATAATAGGCTGGGCAGTGGTGGTGCACCGTTGTAATCGCAGCACTTGGGAGGCAGAGGCAAGCAGATCTCTGGGAGTTCAAGGCCAGCCTGGTCTGTAAATCAAGTTCCAGGACAGCCAGGACTGTTACACAAAGAAACCCTGTCTTGAAAAACAAAACAGAAAAAAAAATTCTATTTAGTATATCCTACAAACTTAATAGAGATTTGCATATCATCACAAGGCTACTCCATCATTATCCATAGAATATTATTCTCCATGGCTACAGTCCAAAAATCCCTCATTCATATCATTTCCCACTCAACTCTCCAAGAAACACCATGCAGGTCCACCTTTGTTACTGTATATTATGGTTTGAATGTGAAATTCCTCCTCTTAGGGATGTGGTCCCCAGCTGGCGGTACTATTTTAGGAGGCTGTAGAACTTTAGAAGGTTGGGTCTACCTAGGTCACTGGTTTTGAGAACCTGAGATATTATACCCTGGTCCCAGGGGCTGGGATTAATGATTTGTGTGCCTGGCTCTTCTCCAGCTTCTTGAAGAAAAGCTGAACTGGAAACAATGAGGTGCCACTGAGTGATACACAGTCCACATCCCAGCTGATTTGTCCTTTCTATGGGACATTTCCCCTCATATTTGTACCTCTTTCATGCTCCCAGAGTACTCTCTATCATGAGATGTCTATCAAAGCACATATCTACTCCTCCAAGATCAATGACAGACATTTATTTGTATCTCTGAGTAACACTCAGTACGTCCCCAGTGTCTGGCACAGGGAACGCTTATTCCATTCCTTCTCACTCAGCACCTTAATGTGTTATGCCCCTTACCCACAGAACTCACAGAAATGCCATAACAAGCACATGAAGATCCATTCTTCCTATTTGTTAGATGAGGAAACTGGCAGATTGCCCTCATGACCTGCTAAAGTGACAGACAGAAAATAATGGAATAGAAACATGGAGTTGTCAAGTGACAGTAGAAGAATGTGTGTGTGTGTGTGAGAGTGTGTGAGAGAGAGAGATACAGAGATCTCCCTAGAGATACAAACAAAAAAAGATCATGTGCAAAAGAGATGGGGCTCCAATAGTACTAATGGTCCTAGGATTTCATGTATGTTGGCCTCCAGGCCTAACACAGAGCTGATTAACTGGGATGATTCCTAGTGGCTGGGACCATTTCATTAGCTTCCTTGTAATTGTGGTCCTCAGCTCTCAAAGGTTGGTAATGTCTTACCCACCCAGAGGATAAACTGCCATCATTTATTTATATAATCTCTGCAGCTCTTTCCCTGATGGTGCACACTAAGCACCCCACTCCCTCAGAAGTCCTTGCACCTCCTCAGGCCTACAAAGCTTTTAACTCTGCCTGATATTCACAGTTAGTGAGATGGGTAAAGACACTTGCTACCAAGCCTGACAAGTGGAATTCAATCTCCAGGACTCACATGGTGCCGAGAGAGAACCAACACCCTCAGGTTGTCATCTGTTTCCCACACACAAATAACCCAAAGTTAGCTTTCTTCCTTTCTTTATCCTTGGAATCCTACAGTTCTTAGCACAGCTATTGTGTCAGCTATAATCAATCTTGACAGGAAGCCAGTGACATACTAGAATATAAGGCTTGCTAGTTTATTGACATTCTCCTATTCAAAAAAATTTTTTTCCCAGAACAGTAGTGGTGTCTGGGAGTTTGTACACATTAGCCCCTTCCCCAGACCTTATGAGTCAAACCAGTATTTCAACAGGATCCCTAAATTATTTCAAGTCTGTGAAGCTGTGCTTCACACACCAACGCAAGGTCTGTTCCTTAACTAGCCATGTGACCGAGGGCAAGCTGCTTTAACCTCTCTTAGGTTCTGGGTCCTCGTTAATGACAATACTTTCCCATGTGGTTTTTTTTTTTTTTTTTTTTTTTTTTTGAGACCTACTGCAATCACGCTCATAAGAGTGACAGCAGTGCGAGGTATGGAGTGAACAACAATTTAGCATGAAGAAGAGCTCTAACTAACTGTGGGGATCTAGAATTCCTTGCTGCGCCAGCACTTGAGGTTCTTCAATCTGTTTAGGTTGGGTTCTGAAGAACTCCAGGGGGCGCACGGCCAGGGAAAGCCCGGCGCTCGCTCTGTTAGGCAGGAAGGCCCGGAAAAGCACGGATGGGGGGTGTGTGTGGAGGCGGGCAGCCCCTCCTCCGGGCGGCTCCAGCCCAAGCAGCCCTCACCTGCTTTGAACACAGGCCTCATCCGCAACGCGTTATTCAGCAGGCCGGCGCAGTAGCCCAGGAAGCCGGTGTAGACAAGCCGCGGGTCGTTGAGCTTGGGTGGGGGCAGACTCCGGGACTCATCAGGCAGGAATGTCAAGGGCTCGTGGCCCGGCCGTCCGCTCATCATATTGATGCCGGTTCCACGTGAGGTCTGACCTCAAGACCCCAACTATAACAGAAACCCCCACGACGACCGCCGCGACCGATACCGTTCTCCTCCGAGTTCCGGGCTGAAGGGCATAGAGTACGGCGGTGCAGCGCCTAAAAGCTTCCCCGTGTGTGCAGCCTTAGGAACACCAGCATGCGAGGTTCCGGGCTACTAAGTGGTCCACAATACGTGAAGGCTCGCGTTGAGGTTGGAGTGAGGGTTTGGGGGCCAGATGCCAATCCAGTCCAGTGGGTACAGTAAATGGGCAAAGACGAGGAGACATTGATATTTATTTTTGCCCAGTTCTCACATAGGGAAAATTTCTCCAGTTCTCTTTCACACATACCCCCCCCCCCCCGCCAAGGCTCTTCATTCAACAATCAACCCCCAGAAGTGGTCGTGATGGAGAGTTTATTTATTGAATTCCATAAAAGCTAGTCTTCTGGGGTTCCAACTGTTCATTTGCAGTTACATCCTCCAAAGCCTAAATAAAATTAAGGTACGGTCAGCAGCGAAGTATTCAGAAGAAAGCCTGGAGTGGATCGTTTAACCTATTCTTGAGATTTAGATCTGGTGGTAGTCTGCTAAAATGATTCCCTCTGGGCCTTAAAATCTGTGTATATACCTGAGGGGAGTGTTCCCTAAAGGAGTAAGAAATGAAAGAAAGAAGGAATCTATAATGGTCTGTCCCAGTCTCTGCTCACCTTCCTAGAATAAGGGGCATTCCCATATTTGAGCAGCTCCTATTCGAAAGCCCTTCCTTGTAGTACGGGGGGAAAATGACCCAGACACTGATATTGGGGTTCAAGCCGATGGTCAAAAAGCAAAGCAGCTAGCCACTACCTCAGGCTGAAAGGGCTGTCCTGTCCTCAGCGTGGCTGGAGAGTAAATCTCTCCACCAACCCTCAGACTGCAATCCTAGACTGCGACCTCTTCCTTTTATACCTCTCAAATCCTGGGATTAAAGGCGTGTAACCCAAGGGCTGAGATCACCTTTGTGTGAGTTGTTTCTCTTTAGGACTGGATTAATTTCATGTAGCTCAGCGCAGCCTTGAACTAATAGAGATCCATCTGCTTGTCTCCTGAGTCCTGGGATTAAAGGTGTGTGCCACCATTGACTGGCTCTATGGTTGGCTAGTATAGCTGCTGGGATTAAAGGTATGTATCACCATTGCGTAGTTTGTTGCTTTCTGCTCGCTAAACCACAGGTCAATACAAATATATATGCATCAAAGACCTGAGAGCTAGCTGTCTATGGTGGCACTTGCCTTTAATCTCAGCAGGCCAGCCAGAGCTGTTACACAGAGAAACTTTGTCTCAAAAAACTGAAACCAAGAGGGTTGGAGAGATAACTCAGAGCTGTTCAGAGATAACACTAGCTGTTCTTCCAAAGGTTCAGAGCTTAATTCTCAGCAACCACATGATGGCTCACAATCATCTATAATGAATGAGAGCTAATACCCTCTTTTGTCATGCAGGCATACTTGCAAATAGGGCACTCATATACATAAAGAAGTAAACCTTTAACTCTCTCAATATAGAACAAAAACAAACAAAAACACCTGAGTGCTAAATACCAGCTCAGAGTAAAGTGTGATAATATTCTTCCATTTTTGTACTCTCCTGAGAAAACTTCAATGAGACACACAGAGAAAAGTATTAGAACATGTGAGTTCTAATCTCTATTAAAAGTGTAGTGGTATGTGACCCGTAACCCTAGCAGTTGGCAAGCAGGAAGGTCATCCTTGGGTACATGAGTCCCTGTCAAAAATTTTTTAAAAATAAATATATAAACAAATAATACATAAAAGCAATACAGTTGCATCAGCATGATCAGACTGTGGGTGAGAGGAGAGGAAAGGAGACTCTATATAGGGTCTGGGAGTCTACCTAACCCTTATGTCCGTCCTGTAATTAGAAGTTTAAATGGTTTTCTTTCCCCCTGTGTCGTTGTTCAGCACTGGTTTGAACTGAAAGCTATTTATTCCTTCTTGAGATTTGCTCACAGTTATCATTTGTCCCTACAGAGCCTGCTACCCTGTCATGAGGTAAGGAGGAAGGGAACTTGAAAGAACCAGGACAAGAGTCTCCTATTAGGGCACCCAAGGAAAAGAGTGGGACTCCTCCCCATGTCTCCACCTCTAACTTCCACCTAACAGAAGGCGGGGGCTGGCAGTATAACTTGGTGGCATGAGGCCACTGGGCAATAGGTGGACTTGTGCTTGTTTTTTTGAGTCAGGATCTTTCCTTGTTTCTATGTAGAGCTAACAGTTCTGGAATTTGCTGTTTAGATCCGGTGAGCTTCAGACTAGTGGTAACTTCCAGCCTCTACCCTCTGAGTGCTGGGATTAGAGCTCTATACCACTCTGGTCACCTTCACCCCATCAGGAGGACTCTTCATGAGGATAAAAAGCACTCCTGAAATGAAATATTTCAAGCAAAATTTTTCAAGTAAAAAATCATTAAAGAGAGTATATATTAGAGTTTTCCTGGAGTGCACCAAATGATCTGAAAGTTCATATCTTATGGCCCAATAATTACAAATCTCATAACATAAGATTGCAGGGTGTGTTGGATCACCTCTGTGATCCTAACACTTGACCGAGGAAACAGGAGTTCTAAACGTTGATGTCAGCTTTGACAACAGAGTGAGACCCTGTCTCAAACAAAAATCAAAACAAAACAAAAAACAAACTAGGGGTTGGGAGATTGCACAGTGACAGAGAGCTTGCCAAGTGTGTTCTGTGTTCCAACTTCAGTTCAAAACCAGACAGAACAAAATACAATAACGTGAAATCAATTTTTGCATTTTTTTTTAGGTAGGGTCTTAGTGCTGGAGAGATGGCTCAGTTAAGAGTGCTTTCTAATCTTTCAGAAGAACAGCACCCGAGTTTGTTGGCTTATAACTGCTTGCAACTCCATTTCACATACCTGTCCCCAGCACACCACTCCACTGTCCTCTGGGCCTCAATCTCAGACTTAATATTCTTCACATTTTTCTAATAAGTATATGTGCATGTGCACATGTGCCATGGCACTCTTGTGGTGGACATAGGAAGACTTTGGGGAGTTCTCTCCTTTGACCCTGTGGATTCTGGGAATCAAATGGAGGGCTGGATCCCTGCTGGCATAGTCACAAGCAGTTTATGAGCCACCTGGGAATTGAATTGGGATTTTCTACAAGAACAATATGGACTCTCAACCACTAAGTCATCTCTCCAGGCTCACAAATGCTTAATGAATCATGCCTGAAGAGTCCAAGCTCCTTGTGTGTACAAATAAGGGTCCTTTATCAATCAGTATCTCCCGGCATTCCCTTTCCATCTGTAAGCTACACAATGTACCTGTTAAATCTGTTCAGGGACAGGATGTTGTAGAATATTCCTTCACACGGTGTGAAGATGTGTCACTGTGATTGGTTTAATAAAGAGCTGAATGGCCTTTAATTAGACAGGAAGAGGTTAGGCAGGATTTCTGGGGGCAGAGAGGACTCAGGGAAGTAGAAAGGCAGGGTCACCAGACAGACTCAGAAAGCAACATGAACTGACAGATGAGGTAAGGAAGCACTAGACAAAATGCAGATTAAAATAATCAGGTGATGTCTCCATGTCATTATTTGGGAGCTGGCAGTACAAAGACTTGCTAAACTGAGTCCTTTGGATAAGATAAATATATATCAGTGAGCTGGAGACACAGCTCAATTGACAGATTGCTTACCTAGCATGCATAAGGCCCTGGGTTCTACCCTGAGCACCATAAACTAGGTGTGGAACCTGTACAAATTCAGGCTGGCTTTTCTTTCTTTTTTTTTTTTTAAGATTTATTTATTATGTATACAGTGCTCTGCCTGCATGCATGCCTGCACACTAGAAGAAGGCACCAGATCTCATTATAGATGGTTGTGAGCCACCGTGTGGTTGCTGGGAATTGAACTCAGAACCTCTGGAAGAGCAGCCAATGCTCTTAAATCCTAAGCCATCTCTCAAGCCCCCAGGCTGCCTTTTCTTTGTGTGTTATTTTTATTGTTGTTTTTGAGACAGGTTCTCATGTCTTCCAAGATGGCCTCAAATTTGCTATGTAGTTGAGGAGGCTGACTTTGAATTCTGAATTTTCCTGACTCTAATGCTCAAGTACTGAAATTACAGCCATGAACTACAATACCCAACTATAAACTATTTTATTTTTAAGTTGTGTATGTGTGTGTGGTGGGGGAAGTATGTGCATGTGAGTGCACACACCAAGGCTAGAAGACAGCATCAGATTCTCTGCAGCTGGGATTACAGTTGGTGGTGAGCCACCTGATGTGGGTGCTGGGAAATGAACTCAGGTCCTCTGGAAGAGCAGTATACACTCTTAACTGTTAAGCCATCATTTTGCTGACCCCCACTCCCCAGCATTTTCTAAGGTCCTGAACTCACAGAGGCCCACTTGCCTCTGCACCATGTTCACCTTTAATTGTTTTTAAAGTTACATTTTATTTTTTGTGTATATGTGTGGGTGTGAATGTCAGAAGACAATTTGTGAGTTTACCTCTTTCTACCTCGTGGGTCCAGGGATTGAACTCAGATCCTCAGGATTGGTGGCAAGCACTTTTACTGAGTTACCTTGCTAGCCCCTTTTCTTGTTCTTGACTATGCTTAGCTCTGTATTAAAAAACATCTTAAAGTAATACTTTACTTATTTAATAACTTTTTTGTATTCCTTCTGGTGTTAGGGAGTGAATCCAGGGTCTTGTCCATGCTAAGGCAGCTAGCATTTGGCCACTAAGCTCTAGGCCCCCTATAATTTTTAATCTAGGATTTTGTTATCATAAAACACCTTCATAGGCAGAGAATGATGGCACATACCTTCAATTCCAGAATGTGGGATGCAGAAGTAGGTGGCTCTCTGTGAGGCAGAGGCCAGCTTGGTTACACAGAGAATCCCAGGACAGCCAGGGCTACATAGTGAGACCCTATCTTAGAAAAGGGAAGGAAAGAAAAGAAAGACACTCTCTGCAAAGTTTAAAATGTATAGCAGGTACAGTGCCTGGAAAAGAGTATTTAGGGTACAATAAAGTCTAGGGACTGATTTGTGTAGGTGCCAAAGGTGTATTCCTGGTTTTGTGAGCCTTTTCTAGGGGTTGACTTACATCGAACAGGAAGAGAAATATGAATATGCTGAAAATAGATCCGTGTGGTGCCTACCACCAACCGAAGCATCTACAGCTCAACTCCTGCACCTAAGGCTCAGGAAACTTTAAGGAGGGGGAGATTGTACGAGCCAGAGGAACAAGAGGCCTGGTGGGGGATGTCTTCTAGAAATGTCAGGGAAGCTACGCCCATGTAGTCTCATCAACATGACTGTTCTCCTCAGGGAAGAGTATGCCAGTTGGTTACCCGATACCAAGTGGTCAGCCCTGAAAACATATCCACACAAGTAACATATGGACTGAACATATTGTATTTACACATTTAAGAGAGAGAGACAGAAACAGAGACAGAGACAGACAGAATCAAAAGAGATCAGCATGCAAGTAGTACACAGATATGCATGCAGATAAAACAACCATATGCATAAAAAAGTAAATAAAAACAACAAAAACAAAACTGTGATATTTTGTTTATGATCTAACAAATAAAGCCTGCCTGAAGATCAGAGTGCAAAGTTAGCCATACTAGTTAGCCATAGAGGCCAGGTGGCACACACCTTTAACCCCAGCACTCAGGAGACAGAGGCAGATGGATCTCTGTGAGTTCAAGGCCTCCCTGGGCTATATGAATGTGATCCAGTTTAAAAGAGAAACAGAGCTCACACAAAGGTGATCCCAATGCTTGGAGTGACATCCCTTTAATCCCAGCACTAAGGAGGTGGAGGCAGGAAGGGATATGGCTAGGCAGAGAGAGGAATATGAGGCAAGAGGAGACAGGAGCTCATGGCAGTTTGAGGCAGCAGTCAGTCTGAGGCAATCAATCTGAAGAGGCAGTCTAAGGAGGCAGTCTGAGGACAGGATCGCCCCTTTGGTCTGAGCACTGGTAGAGGCAAGAACTCTATAATGGCTGACTGCCTTGCTTCTCTGATCCTTCAGCTTTCATGCCCTGATAGCTGACTCTGAGTTTTTATTAATAATACCAATTAGAATTCATGCTACACAAAACAAAGAAAATGAGTGGGTGTTGGTGGTATACGCCTTTAATTCCAGCACTTGGGAGGCAGAGGCATTCGGATCTCTGAGTTCGAGGCCAGCCTGGTCTACAGAGCTAGTTCCAGGACAAGCTCCAAAGCAATACAGAGAAACCCTGTCTCAAAAGACAAAAAAACCAAAACAAAACAAAAACAGAAAGAAAAAAGAAAATGAGGCTAGAGGTCATAAATTTGAGAGTGTGGGGTAGGGTATGTGGGAGGGGTTGGAGGGAGGAAAAAGAAAGGAAAATACTGTAGTTCAGTTTCAAGAAAAATAAAAATTAAAAAAAAAAATTGACCAAAGCACACTTGCTTCTGTGAAAGTGGGGAGAAGCTTGCACTGCTCTGCAAAGCTCCGGAAATCCCCACACCAGGTGGGCACTAGCACCCTGCCAGCCTGTCACCTTCAGAGTAACAATCTACAAATTGCAAAGTTTAATTTGCACTAGCACCTATTAACTCATTGAACTTATGTCAGGCATGGTGGGGCACACATGCACACGCCCACACACACACTCCACAAAGGAGTCAGGCATGGTGGCACATACCTGTAATCCCAGCACCGTGAGGCAGAGGCAAGGAGACGCTGTGTGAATTTGAGGTCAGCCTGATCTATATAGGGAATCTCAGGACAGCCAGGAACAGACCTTGTCTCATAAAGAAATAGAATCACTTTTAGTTTTATTGTTTTAAATGGTGGTGTGTTGTGGAATGTCATTTTAAGATGCGTTACATTTGTTTATGCTGTGGAACATTTGTTTAATGATGCAAAGATGTGTTACATTCTTTTATGTTGTTATTTGTTTAACTCTGTAAATCTGTGTTACTTGCCTGTCTAAAACATCTGATTGGTCTAATAAGGAGCTGAATGACCAATAGCGAGGCAGGAGAAGACAGGAGAGGGTTGGAAGGCAGAGAGAATAAATAGGAAGAGAAATCTGGGAGAAGATTAAGGAGCAAGAAAAAGAGGACTTTGGGGGTCAGCCACCCAGCTATTGCACTTAGTCAGTGGTACCTGCTCCGAACAAATGTATGGGATGTGCGAGTCGCTCTGGGAGCCCAACATGGATCCAGAACACCTGTTTGAAACCATTTCCCAAGCCATGCTGAATGCTGTGGACAGGGACGCTGTATCCGGCATGGGCTTCATTGTCGACATCATTGAAAAGGACAAGATTACCACCAGGACACTGAAGGCCCGGATGGACTAACTCCGCACTCTGGTCCCAGTTTCCTTTTGTTATTCTTTTTAATAAAATTGCTTTTCTTTCAAAAAAAAAAAAAAAGCCCAGAGCCAAAAGGTAGTTGGGACAATGTTAGAAAAGCTGGCAAACAAGCCAAGCTAAGGCCAGGCATTCATATCAAGGAATAAGACTCAGTGTATTTGTCTGGGAGCTGGGTGGCGGTTCACCCAAAGAGCCAAAAAAGAAAAATAACAACAACAGCAACAACAAAAAAACAACAGAGGTGGTGGTTGGCAAAAATGTGGTGGTTCACTAGATTTCTTGTCTTAGCTTATAGTCGTGTTGGTTTTTTTGAAGCAAGGTCTTCCTAAGTAGCTTTGGCTGGCTTGAATTCAGAGATCCTTCTGCTTCTGCCTCCCAATGATGGGATTAAAGGTGTATGCCATCTTGCCTGACTCTGTTTTGTTTGTTTTAAAACTGTATTTGTTTAGTGTGTGTGTGTGTTGTGGAGTTCACATGCACACACAGAGGTCAAAGGAAAACTTTCAGGAGTCAGAACTTAGATCCAGGGTTTGTGACAACTTTGCCATCACCTTGATGGTCATAGTTTGCTGTTTTATTTCAGTCAGGATTTTCATGTAGCCCAGGTTGGTCTCAATTTCACTATGTAAACTCAACCCCAACTATGTAAACTCCTGATGCTCTGGCCTCTACCTAAATGTTGGGACTTGTGCCAAAAATCTAGACTTCCATGTGTGATCTGAGGAAAACAGATAAATACATTCAAATATTATAGCTATTCATGGTAGCAGACTCCTAGGACAGTGGGAGCATATGTGGGGGAATGGAAAGGAAGAGGGAGAACAGAGGACTCAGATAAACACTGGACACTTAAATGCTTTAGGCTTGGCCAGGTGTAGTGGCAAATGACTGTAATCCCACATCACTCAGAGAGTAGAAACAGGCAAAGTTCTGTGAATACAAGGTTAGCTTGGTCTACATATTGAGTTTCAGGCCAGCCAGGGCTACACAATGAGACTCTGTCACAATCCCCTCCCTACTCCCCTAAAGTTTCAAACTTTCTTTCATTTGATCATTTTAGAGATAAAGACACCATGGTAAAGAATGATTAAGTAATTTTCCATGCAGCTTAGTGAGTTAAGGTGCTTGCCACTAAGTAACTGGAGTTCAACCACAGCAACCACATGGTGAAAGCAAAGAACCAACTCCCCTGTGTCATCTCAGACTTCTGCAGGTGGATGCCATGGCATGTACCCACCTACACATAAACATACAAATGAAAGCTTGATTTCCAAGCAGGCTGTATGACTCTCAGGCCCCTACCCTGTAACCCTGTAATCACTATGCTATGCTAGGTTAATATTTACACACACACACACACACACACACAAACAAAACAGATTACTCTTTTTGTGTGATGCTTGGACTGAACACAGGGTGCTAAGGGGATGGTCAAGCTAGAGGTATGCTTTCCTTTTCCTTTCCTCATCTTTACTGTTACAAACAGAAAACAGACAGAATGACTGGATTGGCACCCCAAGATGATACTGACTTTGAACTTTCTTTGTTCTGTAATGGATAAATACCGTGTATAAAAGTTCATGAGTTGGCCAGGAATTGGTGGTGCATGCCTTCAGTCCCAGCAGTCAGGAGGCAGAGGCAGGCAGATCTCTGTAACTTTGAGACCAGCCTGGTCTACAAGAGCTAGTTCCAGGACAGCCTCCAAAGCCATAGAGAAACCCTGTTTTTAAAAAAAGGTTCATGAGTCAGCTATGTTGGCTGAATTTTGAATGTGCAGCAAATGGTAGGAAAACTAAGGACCTAGATAAAGTGTTTATGAAGTAGTCTCAAGAAAAGGGAGAAAAGGGGGCTGGAGAGACAGTTCATTGGTTAGAACAATGGCTGCTCTTGCAGAGGACCAAAGTTTAGTTCCCAGCTTCTAGGCCACATGGCTCCACACCACCTGTAACTGCAGTCCCAAGAGATCCAACACCCTCTTCTGTGTATCCTTCTCCGAACTGCAGGCCTTGCTGTGAGAGATGACTAGAGGTTCTTACTGTGGTCTGGAGTCTCTGTGGCTTTGCCAAAGCAAAGCATTAAATGTCTCCTGGATCGTTGAGTGTTATCACTGTATCATTTCAATGAGATCAACTCTCCTGGAACAAGGTGTACAGAACAGAAACGACAAACCATCTGCCCAAGTTTGTGCCAACAGGAAAATAATGTAAAGAGTTAGTAATGACCAAAATAGTTTGATATTTTATAAATAAATATAAAATGGCATTTTATTTGTAATTCCTTAGGTATAGAATCTAATTATGCATTACATCCTAACAACGGTCAGTACCAGCTACAGAAAATTATGCTGTTAATCACCTCCTGGTTTACCTTCAGTGGGCACAGCAGGCTATTTTAATAGAAGAAAGCAAGAGCTTTCTCGAATGTGTTTTGTTGCTTAGAGAGGGCAAGTGGCTTCTCACCATGGAAACAATCAGGTTGCTAGGCAGGGCAAGGCCAAGTGTGGAAGAATGGTCCTTAAACAGATCTACTAAATAAATAGATCCTGCTACTGGCAACTTTCTTCAAGTTCTGATTAATAGTCCATGAAGTAATTGCTTGGCTTTCATCCAAACACTTCTTTATTCATTGCTTCTTTGTCTTGCTGACAAGACAGCCAGTCAACACTGAAACACACAGCCTAGTCCAGGCATATGTGATGCCCACTGAACAATACACTGAGGTCAGCAACAAAGGAATGAAGGGGTACTTCAGCTTCCAGGAGGTAAGAGGGAATACAAATTCACAGCAGACTTCCAGAGGCCCCAGGCCGAGGAGGTAGATTGTTTCCATCCAATTGAAAAGAGGTTTTTCTTTTCTGGAGGAGAGACATCTGATTTTAGATGAGTCACACCTGGTTAGCAAAGAGTCCCAGCTAATGTCTCCCACCCTCAGAATGAATGACAGCCAACACTCAAGTCAAAGACTGCACTCGTTTCACATGTAGAAAAATCACTATGCTATGACATGCTATTATCTCAATAATTTAATCTACCACATTTAGCTATGCTGCTCAGACAAAATTAGTTCTGTATTTAGAGGACAGATAGGTTCTGGGTACTGTGACAGTAGAGTAAGAACATACATGGAAATAGGAATTCTAAAAACACTTAATTCTGGCAAAATTTAAGTAACTCTTTACAAATAAGTAACCCTATATTTTTGGTTGTGAGCATAGCTTTTAACTGCTGAGCCATCTCTCCAGCCCAAAAAATTACAGGACCCATAGTACATAGTTTAGAAAGTGAAAAAATTCTGATCCCACTTTTAAAATAATGTTTTACATAGTATCTGTAGCTATGTAACCTTATATGTAATGAATACCTTATATTCTTTGGTTTTTAAATAAGGTTTTAAGCTAGGTAATCTTCATATTACCCATCCCCCACAACTAAGATTACAATCAGAAGGACAGGGTTAGGGGAATTCCTCCCTTTACTTATCAAGTATATATAACAGTTATATTACTGTTTTAAATTAGTAATTATTGTGTATGCACATGCTGATTGTACATAGCGGGAGGTCACAGCTTGACCATTTAAGAGCAAGTATCTCACAAAAGGGAACAGAACCTTAAATGTACTTTCAAAATTACCTGAATAGTGTCTTCAGAGAGGAGATACTATAAATGGTAAATAGTAACATGAGTAAAATTTTAATGGGAAGTTCTGTTGAAAGACAAAAAAAAAAAAAAAAAAAAAAACAGATGACAAAATAGCACATGGACATTGCTAAAATTCTTTTCTTTTCTTTCTATTATTTCAGACAGGATCTTTTTACATAACCCAGCTGGCCCAGAACTCTCCATGTAAACCAGGCTAGGATTAAAGATGTGTGCCAACACACCTAGCTAACTTTTTTTATTTTTTGGTTTCTTGAGACAGGGTTTCTCTGTATTGCTTTGGAGCCTGACCTGGAACTAGCTCTATAGACCAGGCCTGCCTCTGCCTCCCCAGTGCTGGGACTAAAGGCATGCGCCACCAACGCTAACTATTTTTGAGACAACTTAGTAAACTTCAAATTAGGGGCAAATCGGAGGTTTTAAGAGAAAGAACAAAAGCCTCTTCTTCCAGAAGACTTGCCAATTATTTAAGTTAGAGTGCACTGGTTTTTAGGCCTGGATGGAAAAGGCATGGTGACCAAACACGTCTTCCTAAAGAGAAGCTGCTTACCTGGGGCAGTGAACAGCAGAGGGAAGAGGGAGTAATGTCCTGTCGTGGTCAGAATCAGAAAAATTGTCGCATCTCCTGCTTTTTCCACAGACAAAAGGCTAAAAATAAAATTCTTATAGTAATTAATTCCTTAACATAACTGAAATGTGATTGCACAGCTTAAATAAATATGTCTATTATTATTCTTAGGACTGGCTAAATAAAATACCAATGGTAATCCTTATCTAAAATCAACACTGATTCTGTTACAAGTCAACTCAAATGAAAACTGGCTATCTTAGTTTTAAAAAGGTTTTCCCAAGTTTTATTTATTCCATAAGTATGTTCCACGCGCGCGTACACACACACACACAAACACGTCTGTGACTGTGTTTATGCATGCCTTGTGCCCATGGAGGTCAGAAGTAATCAATCCCCTGGGAGCAGTTACAACTGTTAAGTGGGTGCTGGGAACTGAGCTGGGTCCTCTGGAAGAACAGCCAGTGCTCCTAAATGCTGAGCCATCTCTCCAGCCCCTGGGTGTTGTTTTTAAAGCAATCAATAAAAATGTTTCAAAGAGAATAGGGGAGTAAGACAGACACCTCCATACAGTGAGAGAGACCTTGCTTTATTGAGTTGCCTTCCTCAAAGATATAGGATCGGGAGCTGCTTAGTGGAGAAAGACAGGGAAACTCTACTCACGAATTTCACTTCCAAACCTACAGCTAATCTTTTAGATAGTCCTGGACTTGCAGTGTGAGTTCAGACTAGAGTCTGTTCTACTGTGTAATCTGGATGTTCTACGGTTCCAAAGAAAACAGACTGGTCAGTTTAAATAATTTCTCATGATTTGAGAAAACCCTCAAAAATAGAAAGAGGAATCATTTATAGTTCTTTAAAAAAAAAAAAAAAAAAAAGTGCTGAGCATGGTGCACACCTTTAATTCTAGCACCTGGGAGGCAGAAGCAGGCAGATCTCTAAGTTTGAGGCCAGTCTGGTCTACAGAGCAAGTTCCAGGACAGTCAGGACTACACAGAAAAACCCTATCTCAAAAAACAACAACAACCTTCCCCCATCAAACAAATAATAACAAAAGCAAAACAAGTGAGGTCACAGAATTTAGCAGCATAAGGTCAGGCTGAAGTCCTAACTGCAACTTGCCAGCTCTGTGATTTAGTTTTTAAGACATCTTGGTATGTAGCCCAGAATGGCCTTGAACTTATGATCCTCTTGCCTTAGCCTCCTGAGTACTGGAGGATACAGGCTTGTGTCACCAAAATAGGCTTAGCTATGTAACTTTGGTGAGTCACAAGCTTAAAGATCCCTGGTTTCTTCAGATTCTAAAATGGGATTACATCAATTTATCCTAATTATCCTAAAGGTTGCTGAGCAGCTCAAAATAAAGTATACAAACCAGTAAGATAAGAAACAATCAAACTGCTCTGGAAGTCTAAAATGTTCACACATGGAGACACCGTGTAATGCTTGGTCCTTACTGGACTAACAGTAGGGAACAGGGAACCACAGGGCTTCAGTTTTGCTGATGTGACAATACGAAGAATGCCAGCTTTCCCTAAGCCATGCTCCTACCTGATACCCAGATCTATTATGGCATTTAATCATCAAATATATAGAAACAATGTATGGATTTTTGCACACCTCAGGATCCTCACAGGTCTAAAGATCCATGCCAATCAACCCATCATCCTCACTGCTTTTCTTTGCTTATCTCACCCCACAAGACATGACAAGAACAGCATAATCAAAACATTCCAACTCTTTGAGCTATTTGCTTACCTCATTGGGAGAATTGCAAGGAGTATGGCTTTTTCATGAACATGCCATCCAAACATGAAGGAACTCAAGGCACAAAGAACCAGGCATCGGAGAAAGCCTCTGGGCCCTTGGGGTTTAAACCAAAGACAGAAAACAGACGGCTAGAAACAACAGGCAAAGACAGAGCTTCAGTGTCATTTAAAGCCAGCTTGCAGAAGCAAGGCACAGGTAAACACAGTCTGTGTCACATTTGAAAACGGCAGAACTAGGGGGCTCTCCACTTCACTGGCATAACCCAGCACTCTGTGCAGATCTCTAAAGCTAGCTTTACAAAAGAAAATACAAGACCACAGGAATATATACTTACTTCATCAAAATGAACCTTATCCAAATTAATAAACTGTAAGTTCTGGGATATAAAATTTAGCAACTTACTATCTGCATAATTAGCTAATATTCATTGAACTTATCAGGTCACACTACAAAAATTCTTACGTATTTTCGGGACAGTGCATTAGATTTTACCAGTATTGTGAGTTACAGTGCAATTTATAATAATAAAGCCACAGTCCTTTATATACATAGCTTACAAAGATGAGGTTTTTATTTTTTTATTTTTTTGTATTTTACTTATTTCTCTGTCTCTTTCTGGTGTTATATGTATGTATATATTTTGTGTGGTATAAGGACATATGCACACAAATCGGTCAGAGGAGGATGCTGGGTATTGTGCACTCATCACTGTGTTACTCCTTTTTCACAGAGTCTCTCACTGAACCTAGAGCTAGGCTGGTGGTCAGCAAATGCCAGCCATCTTCCTGTCTGTGTTCTCCACACTGCTGGGAGCTGAGGATCTGAGATCCTCATGTTTGCACACCATGTTGTCACTCACTAAATCACAGCCCTAGCCCCAAGGCTGAGGTTTTAGAATTTTTAAATATCAAATAAAATCTATGATTAAGTAGATTAGCAGAATTTAGAAACTGGCTTTGCATACTAGTACTGCCAAGCTAAGTAGGGCCAGGTGTCTTGCCAGGAGATTTTGATCTTTTAGAAACCAAAATTAAAGCTAATGTGTAATTATCCCACCAAAGATATCACAATGCTGAAGTCACAGAACACTGACAGGTGTGAGTGAGGCTCTAACAACAGCTGACCCACAGCAGATTTTTCTTCTTCTCTTTTTTCTTTTTCTTTTGAGACAAAGTCTGGCTATACCCAGATTGGCTCCCAAGGAGCGATCTTCCTATTTCCACCTCCCCAGAGCTGGGATTGCAGCCTTGTGCCACCCTGTCTGGCTTCACAGCAGACTCCCATCTGATGTGTGAAGAGCCAGTGCTCCTCTCAATTCTTTATCACCATCAAGACAAAATACTGTTTTCCAGACACATTTGATCATTTAGCCAAGGATGAGAAAAACAAAATAAAGTTTATATGTTCTGCCACAAACATTTCTTCTTTCTCCACAGCATGCTTTTCTTTTTCCTCATGCCAGGACGGACAGATGGCTTAACATGCCACTGGCAAGACTCTCTCACAGAGGCTTTTCTGGTAATCTTTCCTCACTATGTTCAAAGTTACTGAGAACTGCTCGGAAATACTCCAGTCTGCAGGAATTCATTCAGCCAGGGAACTTATTCTGCAGTTGGACAAGCTTGAAAGCAGAAATTCAGCCAGCACTGTGATAAGAAATGCAGAGGGGGAATCAACAGGTGGGTACCACATGCCAAGTTCTTACCAGTATGGCTATCAGTGTACAGATGAGGGTTGCCAAAGGGGAAACTGAGGGAAGGACTGTATGCTGGAATTGCTGAACCAAACCACTTGTCATGGAGGCCCTGGGAATCTGGTTGGGATCAAGAAGTTTCAATTCCAAACCTAGAGAGTAAACAGACATTTTACTTTGGTCAACAGGACTCCCTATCTTAAGAGTCAAAAACACTACTAAATCTAAAGCAGTTCATAGCTGGATGTCATGGGTTTAAGTTTGCGCTGTGCTGCCTCCAGCACATGCTTCTTTCTGGTTTCAGATGATAATCTATAGCTATAGACTAAAATTGGAACAAGCTATTTGTGCAGCCTACTGGAACATTGTGGGCAGGCAGCATTTGAGCAGCAAACTTCTCTACAACTTAGACGGTGCAAGCTATTTAAAAAGCAGACCAAGGCCCAGTGAACTTAAGCCTTTCATTTGCTGCAGTATTAAGTTCATGGTCCTGCACACAGCAGCCCTAGGTGATCTGTAACCTTTCTGCCTCTCCAGCCTCAGCTGCATAGTGCTCAGTCACAACGGACTAAGTGTGAGTCCTCAGCATACCTCCCTGTGCTCACACAGCTCCCTTTGAATGATTCACCCACTCTGCCAAACTTACTTAGTCATGCAGAGAATTCCTAAATCAAGGGGCAAAGCTGCTTTGTGGGTTCTCCAGTACCATTTATGTGCTTACTATCTCTACCATACTATGTCCCTTAAATACAGAAGTTGACAGTTCTTTCTAACCCCAAACACAGAAGTTCAATAATTACTTGCCTGGAACAATGATGCAAGTCCCACCCAAAACAGGCTCCAGTGTAAAAACAGTGCAGTCAAGACAGCCTGAGCATCTACTGCCTTTTTTATTGCCAGCAATGTGGGGAAGAAGCAGCCTGCCAAATGTATTTTCTTTTTTAAAGATTTTATTAAAGAGTGTAGTGTTCTGCCTGCACACCAGAAGAGGGCATCAGATCTCATTACAGATGGTTGAGAGTCACTATGTGGTTGCTGGGAATTGAACTCAGGACCTCAGGAAGAGCAGTCAGTAAATACTCTTAACCTCTGAGCCACCTCTCCAGCCCACTAAAATGTATTTTCTATTTATTCCTTTCCTCTTCAGTGTCTGCTTTTCCATTGGTTTTGAGACCCAGTCTTATGTAGCTCAGGCGAGTTCTGAACTCTTGATTCTTTTACCTCTGCTTGGCAAGTGTTGGAAATACAGGTGTATACATACCCCCATAACTAGCCACCTCCCCTCTTTTTTTGAGACAGGATCTCATATAGTCAACCCAATCAAGAATGACCCTGAACTTCTCATCTTCCTGCCACCACCTTCTGAAAGCTGGGGCTGCAGGTGTACCCCACATATCTGGTTTATGCAATGTTGGTAGTAGAACTAGGATTTGCATTCCACTAGCTGAGTTAATCCCCAGCTCCTGATTTTATCTTAAAATTAATGGCTCTTTCCCTGAGATTTTGAACCTGACACTGACTTTCCATGAAAGGCACCTTTGGGGAGCAGGTACAAGATAAGGTACAGCAGTTTCCTGACTCAGGACTTGCACTGCACACTAAACTGAACCGACAACAGTTTTTCACAATACAAATGTTTGAAGTTACTTTGTAAGAATGCCAGTTACACTGATGATGGATTGATGAGTGAGGGATGAAACTAAATTATGATTTCTATATAAGTAAGTAAACAAAATAACCATTTTCTGTAAGTACATAGCTCCAGGTCCAGGGGGGACCCAGTGCCTCTAGCCTCTGTGGGTACTAGCACTCAAGAGTATAGCCTTCCCCAAATAATTAAACATAATTCTTAAAAAGCATCTCAATATTTAATCTACTCACCCAAGGAAAGCATCTAAAACCCCACTGCCACAAGGAAGGTTTGTAAGCAATGCAGTCTACTTACTGCACAACAGACTTGGTCTCAAGCAATTCTGCTCTGCTCATCCTGAGCTTAAGTGCAGGGCTGGAGACCAAGTAATCCAGAACACACATCCAAACACAAAACCCGGGCAGGTGTTTGTACTTCCCGATGGGACTAGTCCTTTCAGTATTCATAGTCTAAGGAAAAAGCTGGGCAGCATACCAATGACAGACAGTGCTTTGTCCAAAGCATTGTACAAAGCCCAGAAGTTGGGAGCCCAGTAGGCATGGCAAAGGCCCCTCTTGAAAGGAAAAAGTCGGGAAAAGATTTGTGGCAGTTGGTTCTGTTGAGAAAGAGAAATGAAACCAATTAAATACCCATCAATTTACTACAAATTCTAAAACAGAACAAGAAAACTACCCGCGCATGGTGCATAGAAAGTTTAGCAGTCTGGGTTCAGATCTTTGTTTCTACAACTGAATGAATGATCCTAATCAAGTCACAGACCTCTTTTTTGCCTAACCTTTTAAATGGCCAGGAGGAGACACATAAAAATCAGCGAATATCCATTCATTCTACTAGTAAGTACAAAATTTGTAAGGTTCAGGGAGAGCACATGATGTGGTCCATCCATCTAAGCCTGCTGAAGTGTTGGGGAGCAGGGAACACCACATTAGATGTAGTGTTTGTTCCTCCATCTTAATAGAAACGAACTGATTTCGGGGTGTGGAGCGAGAGAGAAAAGAAAATATTTGGACATCTGTCCCAGGCACCTTACAGCATTTACTGTGTACAAAGGATGAACTGAGAGACTAGAAATGTTAGTAAGTAGGTGCATTAAGTAGAATCCACAATAAGAACTAATTCTCTATGCAACTACAGTTTCATGCTAGTTAAACATGCACAGAAATATGCAATGAGGACCTTACTTACCTTTGGTAGGAAAGCAACAAAGGAGCTTTTACAGGTGCTTCACGCACTTCCTACTCTATTGTTCTTTCTAAACAACAACAAAACTAAGACTTACACTACTTTTTAAAAAGCAAACATCAGAAATAAAATAGAATATCTTACCAAGGCTATGAAAGGGCCCAATGAAAGAGCAGAGACTAGGAAAACAATCAGTCCTAGGGAAATGACACGGACAAAGCTAAAGCTGTCCCATCGGACACTGCCATCTACGGAAAAAGAAAGCCAATTACCAGGAGCATGAAGAACCCTCCAACAACACTCAGGGTTTCAACACATAGCCCAAATGTCCTCCCGATTCAGCTTCCTTAGTACTGGGGTTAGAAGTGTGTACCAACATGCCCGGGTATACACTGATCTCTTTGTGGAGGTGGAAGTTTATAGATCAGTATCCAAGAGACACCTGTCATGCTCGATAACAGTGTCAGCTACAAAGAAGAAAATAAGGATCTTGCTACCACTGCTAAGACTTGCCTGGTTTGCTTGCAGTAAAACAGTAAGATCGCAGCAGATAGATACCATAGGCTGGTGCTACATAGAGGTAGATGTGCTTGAAATGCAGGAGGACAGCAAAGAAAAATGCCCCTTCCAAATGCCTTTTCTAGGAGACAGAAAGGGGAATGTATCATTTTGAATTCAAGGTGGATGAAAGACAGTCTATAGTATCCTGTAGTGGATCCTGGAACACAAGGAAGACATTAGTAGAAAAGCTGATGAAATTCAAATAACTAAAGCTGGTTTCTTAGCCTTGGTGAATGGTTGTTTAAGATGGTAGCACTGGGAGAACATTAGTGAGTGAGGGGTATTCAAGGATTCAAAACTATTTGGGCAACTTTTCTGTGTAGCTAAAATTATTCTCAAAAAGAAAAACAAGACAAAATAAAACAAAGCCATCTATTTTTAAAGCAGAAACCTTTAAAACAAAAACAAAAATTGGGAGTCTTGCGGAGTCTTGCTATATTGTTCAGGTTGGCCTCAAAACTTTTTTTTTTCCCCCTGATACAGGGTTTCTCTGTGTAACAGTCCTAGCTGTCCTGGAACTCTATTTGTAGACCGGCTGGCCCGAATTCACTGACATCCACCTGCCTCTGCCTCCCAAATGTTGGGATTAAAGCTGTGTGTCACCACCTCCTGGCTAGTCTTAAACTCTTGAGTTCAAACAAGTCTCCTGGCACAGGGCCTCCTGAGTACGAGGACTATAATGATGTGTGCTACCACACCCAGCTACCCAGCTAAAATAGTAAGCATTAACATTTTAAAGAATGCCTTATTGTTAGTGTTTTGCTCCCATGTTTGTGTACATGCATGCAGTGCCTGCAGAACTGGAATGACAGATAATTGTGAGCATCTTTGTGTGCTGGGAACTGTTCTCTGCAGGAGCAGCCAGGGTTCTTAACTGCTGAGCCATCTGTCCAGCTCAATAACAATTTCCTTTCTTCTTCTCTTTCTTCCTCTTCTTTTTTGTCTTGAGACAGGGGTTCTCTGTGTAGTTCTGGCTGTACTGGAACTCACTCTGTAGACCAGGCTAGCCTCGAACTCAGAGATCTGCCTGTCTCTGCCTCCCGCTGAGATTAAAGGCATGTGCTACCACTGCCTGGCCAATAACTATTTCTTAATGGATAGTTCCACAGGGAACTTCTGTAAGGAATGCAGGTGCAGTCTGCAGCAGGAAAGGCTCAGTGGGAACTGCAGGGCTGGAGACCAAGCAATCTGAACACACAAGGGCAGGGTTTTCCACTCCCTGATAGGGATTAGTCCTTTCAGTATTCATTAAGTGAAAAGGGTGGGTGTAAGGAGTAAGGTTTGTCCGCCCGCTGCCTGGTCTTGTCCTGCCACCGCGCCAGCCCCAAATAATGCAGAGACTCTGTATTTGATATTATGTTGTTGGCCAGTTACTTGTTTTTTATCGGCTAGTTCTGTCTTAATTAACCCATTTTTGTTGATTTATGTATTTTTTACGTGGTCTTCTCTTACCGGGGAGCTGGCCGGCATTCTGCTTTCTCCAGACTCTCCATCTTGACCCTCCTTACTCCTTCCTCTTTCCTCCTTGTCTCCTAGTCCCTCCTATCGTCCTTTCCTATTGGCCAACAGTGCTTTATTCATTAACCAGTATGATAAACATATACACAATGACATCTCCCATCAGGTGGGTACCATACCAACAAAGACAGAGTTTCATCCAAATCATTCTATTGAAAAAGAATTCTGTGTGTGTACCACTATACTATGTTTTATGTATTTCTGAGAGATTTAAATTTTCTATAACATTTAAAAAACCAAAGTGGGGACTGGAGAGAGGATCAGCAACTAAGAGCATTTATTTCCTGTTCTTGTAGAGGACCAGGCTTTTCTGTTCTCAGCACTGTCATGATGGCTTAACACTGCCTGTAACTCTGGTTTAGTGATATGATGCCCTCTGATATCTGTGGGCACCTGCACACATCTGGTACACATAAACTCATAGGCGTAATACATATACATAAAAACAGGATAACAAATAAATTATTACTTCATTCATACATAGTAAACATTAAGCCTGATGCTAAGACTTTAACTTTATCTTTAACTTCAGCACCTGAGAGGCAAAGACAGGTGGGTCTCTGTGACTTCAAGGCCAGCCTGGTCTACAGACTGAGTTCCAGGACAACCACTGCGTTAGAGAAACCCTGAAATCCTGTCTTTAAAAAACAAACAAGAAAAGATACAGGATATATCAGCAGTAACCACAAACTATATTCTTTTTTTTTTTTTTTTTTTTTTCTTTTTGGTTTTTCGAGGAGCCTGTCCTGAACTAGCTCACCAGGCTGGCCTTGAACTCATAGAGATCCACCTACCTCTGCCTTCCAAGTGCTGGGACTAAAGGCGTTCACCAACAATGCCTGGCTTACAATGTTATCTTTATAAGCTAAAAACTAAAAAGGGAAATCTAATTAGGTTCTTCTGTGTTTACCTGAAATAACCGTGCAATGGAGAGCAGCATTAATCCAGATAAAAAGCCATTGTACTGGAAATGAATATCTGGATGGACGTCAAGGAAGATGAGGACATTGGATTCATAATGAACTGTGTTATGAATAAGTATAGAATTTGTAGATGATTTCTTAATGAGTAAATTAAAAAATAATAATTTAACTGGTTCACAAATTAACTCCTCAGAGACAAAGTATTTTAATAACTAGAATCCAGTAAACATGGAGAGAGCACAGTTTGGGGAGCCAAGTAACCTAGACAGCCCCCATTCAAAAGCAGGTCACATTCAATAATCATCACTACAAGAAGAATTAACCTATTAGTAGATACCATAGGATGTAATATACCAAGGATACGGTCTACAATTAACAACCCAAAGTTCCACAACAGTAGTACGGACAGAATAAACTTTGGCTTCTCTGTAAGTTCTTTGCTTGTTTTTTTTCCATCAATACATTTACAGCACCTACATGGACACATCAGGAAATAGAAATAACTTTAGGCTCCTTACAACATGACAATACTTCTACTTTCAGCCATTTCTAACAAACCGTTTATATTATCCATGGTTGATCTCAGGGCTAATTCATATCTTTTTCTTGAGTTAGCTGATTAGATACAAGGATTCTTTAATAAAACTAAATCCAATAAATAGCAATCTGAGCCTTCAAAGTAAGCATTTTAAAAATGAGTGCAAGCACATTAGTTCAGCCCTTAAAAGTGAAAGGTGTGGGCCAAGTGTGTAGCTCCATTGACAGAGTGCTGGCCTAGCACACAGGGGGCCCTGCACCAAATGAGCACAGTAGTGCATGCCTGTATTCCAGCTCTGATGAGAAGAGGTATGAGGATTAGTAGTTCAAAGACATTATCAAAAATATGGCAAGTTTCAGGCCAACCTGAGCTACACTAAGACCTGTCTCAAGAGGGGGGGGAGGAAGAAGGGAAGGAGTGAAAAATGCAAGCTATAACTCAGTGGTAGAATGATACATGCTAAGCAATGAGAGCAAGACTCTGGCTGGGTTCAACCCTCAATATATATGTATGACCCATATATTCATACAGAGTGAAACACTCAGGCCAGTCTTGGGCTACACAGTGAGACCCTGTGTCAAAAATAAATAGAACTGCAAAGCTGTTCTCACAACCCAGATGATGACGACAACAATAAAACTTTATGTAAGGGGCTGGGACATAGCTTGGCAGTAAAGTACTTGCTGTGCAAGCATAAAGACTTGAGTTCAGTCCCTAGAACCAATATTAAAAAACAAAAGAAACAAACTGAACACAATACTTATAATATTAGTGTCAGGAAGCAGAATCAGGTGTATCTCTGGGGACTGTCATTCATTTTGTTTTTTGAGACAGGGTCTCCTCCTGGCTTGGAACTTGCCAAGTAGGCTGGTCCAGGCTGGTCACAAGTGCCAAGGATCTACTTGTATGCACCATATGAGTAATGGGATCACAAATGTATGCTACCATGCCAGCCTATATCACATGGTACATTGTTTGTATATCTATGCAGAATGTGCATGCCTGATTCCTGCAGGTCAGAAAAGGGCATTGGGTCCCTTGGATCTGAAGTTATAAATAACTGTAAGCTGCCAGGAGGGTGCTGGGAATCAAACCTGCATCCTCTGCAAGAACAGTAAATGCTCTAAACTGTTGAGCTATCTCTCCAGCCAACCATAAGATAACCTGAGTTTATTGGAATGAAACTACCTAAGAGCAGACTTTGGTAAAGAACAATGAATATGTGTGCATAAATGTGTATGTACCACAAAATAGGACAGGTCACAAAAGTCAAGGAAAGGAAGGCATGTGGAGTTGACCTCTGTGAGGGAACTGGTCCTGGAATCCTATATGGATTTGTTCTGTCAACAATACTCATAGGATCTTCTCATACAGCCAGCTACCTCAAACCCAAACTCACCCCTATTTCCCTACAAAACCTCTCAAGACTGCTCCCTGTAACGACTCTCAGGCATTTGCTATTATATAAACAGAGCCGTGTTTCCTATAAATCAGCAATAATACTACAATTTCTCAATATCTTCCACACAAATAAAAGTCTATACAGCATGACATCTGCCACTTACTCGTGAACAGCATAAATGAAGAGTGCATCTGTCAAGATGACAGAAAACCTCTGGAAAAGCAATGTTCTTGAGCTGTTGTAGTTCAGGTTATGGATATTAAGCATCTTTTGATCAAAGTATTTGGCAATATGTGATAGGGTATATTCAAACCATGCAAAAAAGGGGGGGTAATCCAAGGTCCATTCTGAAGTTGCCTGTGATTTAAAAAAAAAAAAAAAAGTCAAAATTAAAAATACCTTAACTAAACAAGGTATAAATACTTAACATTATTTATTCTCAGACCTTTAAAAAAATATAATGAAATAAAGTTGCACTTAAAATGCCCTAAATATATAGAGTTATTTGGAAGAAAGGAGAATTAGAAGAGGACAGACATGATGCACACCTATAATCCCAGCATTAAGAAGGGTGAGGCCAGAGAATTTTGAGTTTCAGGCCAGCCTGAGATTTCCTGGCCATGTATCAAGGGTCAGACACTAATCATAACCCTCCTTCTCTGTACCTGTACTTTTTAGTTTTAAAAGACATGTATGAGTCTTTTTCCTGTATCATGCAGGTCTGAAGAGGGATTCCCTTGGGATGGGAGTTACAGTTTAAGTCACCACGTAAGAGCTCAGATCTAACCGTTTCTCTGTAAGAGCAGTGCTCTTAACCAGAGCCAGTACTCCAGCTCCTTGTTACTCTTTTCATTGAAAATTCTTTCTCTTCAAGTCCAGTACAAGCTCACTAACTACTAACTGGTTCATCACAGGGACTATGGTTCAAGGTTTCTCTGTGATTAAAAGGTAAATAAAACCAATGTAAGACTTAAGACAAAATGCTTGCTTGATCTCTGCTCATTTTCAAGTTCTTTTTTGAAGTCCTGGAGGCTGGATTTAGGCAAGCATTATCACACTTAGCCCCATTCCCAGTCTAGCCCTCTGCTTATATGATTGAATGACAGACAACTGCTGGGTCTGGAGATGTCAGGATCTGTTCACAACCCCTGCAGGTACAAAACACGGAAGCTTTAGATAGTCCCAGGTAAATCCAGAGGCTCTGTCTCTAATGAATCCACTCACTAACTTCTACATTTACAATGTAGTATAGAACTCCTCTAATCCCAAGTCTCCCATGTAGGATATAAGCAAAATGACTCACTGAACAGAAGAAAGAAAAACTACAAGTTCTATTTACAATTTTGTTTTAACAATCACTATTAAATAGCATTATCAACAGAGCAGTGGCTTTGTGACTTACACAGACACGTTCAACAGAATATACTCAGAAATGATTTCTTGCTAGGATAGGGACAAGAAAGTCCATGTAATTCTAAAATCTCTACTGTTAATTTAGACTTTAATCCATTTACAAATTCTAGCTATAATTAAATGTCAGCATTCAATCTCCCCCAAGAGAGCTGCTTATATTTTTTGGGGGAGTAAAAGACTTTCTGACTTCATTTTACTGACACATTTATAACTTTGAAAGTGGTGAGCAGGAAACAAAGAAATTGGCTGCTGTTAAGAGGTGGCCGTTTTTCTGGAACAAAGTGCTCTTGAGTTTCCTTGCCATCCCCGCCACACTGCACACCACTCCGAGCCTCTCTATTCCGCACAAACTCCCAAACTGGGCTCTGCAGATCAAGCGTTTCTATTTGGGGCCAACGGCTTCTATTAGCTGTATTTCCTCCCAGTAATTCCACTGAGTGCTGGAGATGAGACTCAAATCTGGATCAAATCCTGGCTCTCAAACATGGAAGAAAAAAACCAAAACAAAACCCAATGTGTTCATATAAAGATTAAACAATTTATTATTTTTTTTTAACTCAGTAGATATTAACAGTCTCTTTGGTGTCTTTCCCAGGTAGTTGACCAATTTGAGGTCAGTGACGAAAGATAAAGTCACAACTAAGGAAGATTTTACAGACAATCCACTTTTCACCTGTCTACCCTCTTGGGATGGCATAAATATACTCCCCAGGCAACTTCACCCTGTCCAGGCTATCTCCTGCTGAGCCTCCTTGTCACACTTCTGCCCTTTAGTTTGTTAGTTTCCTTCCCTGTTGGCAGAAAGATCAAGAAAGCACCAGCATCTCTTATAAGAACCTCTTCTGTGTAAAGTAAGCAGACACAGGAGACGTGGCCCTAGTAGTGGTGGTTATAGGAGGAAGTGAAAACACTTGAGACAGAACAAGAGAATTAAAAGGGAAAGGACCACAATAGAGCCTGAGAGTACCAGCTTCTTAAGAGGTGTGAAAATAAAGTTAGCAAAGGAGACTGAGAAGGAACAGAGAAAGGAGATGGCAAAGCAGAGGACTGCCTTTTCATACACAGAATGCCAATAATTAATACACTAAGTGCTTCCCATTTGTTTCATCTTAATTAGCATCATTTCATCATTGGAGACACATATCACTCATCATGGTCCTTAAGTGGGAGAGTTGTCAAACCTGGACAATCTGAAACCACAGCCCAAGCTTTAGACTACTAGCCTACATAGTACTTTTCCTAGTTGGTATCCACACATACAGACTATGATACCTCAAGCAAAAACAATCACTTAGAGTTCCCCAGCACTTCTATGAAATATTTACAGTACTGTATGTAAACACAAATTCAGTCCCTTGGAACAAATGTTTTTTTTTAGGACTACACAGACTTGGGGAAATAAAACCAGATGAGGATGTAGCTCAGTTCACAGAGTGCTTGTCTGCATGCAGAAAGTATAGGGATCCCCAGTACTGCACATATATTGGCTCATCCTCAGCTAATGCCTGGGCTACATGAAACCAACTAAAAAACAAATGAACAGAAGTTGCAGAGAGATGGCTCAGTGGTTAAGAGTGCATACTGTTCTTGTAGAGGACCTGAGTACAGTTCCCAACACGTATGTGAAGAGGCTCACAATTGCTCATAACTTCAGCTCCTGAAGTTCTGACACCATCTTCTGGTCTCTGTAGGCATCTAGTTACATGCACAAACCCATGCACATGCATGATTAAAAATAAAAATCTTAAACACAACCCTATAAAACCCAGAATCTGTTTAGTTGTGTGCTTGCAGGTATGTCTATCCATGCAATGTATGTGGAAGCTACACACTAACATCATGTGTCTTCCTTAGCCGCTCTCCATTTTAGTTTCTGAGACACAATCCTTCACTAAACCTGGCTCACCGATTTGATTAGACTGGACTCACCAGCCAGTGAACTTTATAGATTGGCCTGCCTCTGCCTCCCTGGCACTGGAACTACAGATACAGGCCAATGCACCCAGCCTCTTCTGCGGGGGGTGGGGTGGGGGGTGGTGGTGGGGTGAGGTGGGGGGATGGGGGTGCTGCCACCTTAACTCGTCTTCATGATCATGTAATAAGCACTTTACCAACTGAGCCATCTCCTCAGTCTTGGAAAAGTACCTTCCTAAAACCAGAATACCACTAAAACATTTCTTTGGGGGTGGAAGAGAAGGTTCAGCAGTTAAGAACACTTGCTACTACTATTGCAAAGGACCTGGGTTCAGTTCCCTGTGCCCACATGGCAGCTCACAATCCTCTGTAAATCATTCCAGGAGATACATTGCCTTTCCCTGGCCACTGCAGGGACAGGCATCCACATGGTACACATGCATACAGGCAAACCACTTATACACATAAAATAATCTAAAATAAATTCCTTTTACTGGGGCTAGAGAGATAGCTCTTAAGAGCTCTTGCTACTCTACGAGAGGACCCACGCTCAATTCCCAGCACCCACATCAGGTGGCTCACAACTGTTTGTAACTCCAGCTCCAGGGGGGATCTGAAGTATCAGGCCTCTGCAGGTACACATGCCCTTCTATGTATATGCCCATAGTTAAAAAATAAACCTTAATTTTTTTTCTTTTAACACACACACACACATACGTGTGCACCACAGTACACATGTGAAAGCGAGAGAATAACTTTTTATTTTTAAAAAATTAATAGTGTGTGCATACCGCATATGGAAGCCAACCCCCAGAAGGCTCTCTCCTTCCACCATGACCACTCCCTGGCCTAGAGTGAGTGGTCTACCTGCCTGTCAGTTAATAGATCTTTCTCTCTGCACCGTGCAGAAGATCCATCCACTCCAGGGCTTCGTGCACAGCAGCAAGTACGTTACACTGGGCCACATTCCCAGTCCTGGAAATCTGATTTAACAGCAGTAACTGGTTCTACACAGCATTTCTTTTGTTGTTGTTTCATTGTGAGATACTGTCTGGCTATATAGTCCAGACTGGCTTGAATCTTGATCTATACCTCAACATCTGCAATGCTAGGATTACAGACATGTGCTGCCATGCTGGCTTACATATAATTTTTGTTGTTATTTTGGTTCTTTGCAAGACAGGCTTTCTCTGTGTAGCTCTAGCTGTCCTAGAATTTACTCTGTAGACCAGGCTGTCCTCAAACTCACAGAGATCCACCTGTCTCTGCTTCCTGAGTTCTGGGATTAAAGGTACGTGCTACCGATGCCTGGCAGCTTACATAAAATAAATTAAACTCACCTCATAATACCACTGAGATACTGGCAAACTGTGAGTAATAGCAAGCCAGTTTCGGTGTACTTCAAAGTCCGTTGAATGGCTATACAAGGCAATACAGGAATAAAATGAGATTTAGAAACAGCTGTATCTCATTATATCCTATAAAACGACATGACATGCACACATGCACCAAGTCCTAAAACATATCACTTAGTAAGAGGTCAGAAGGTCAGGCCTCCCTCTATGTTGTTGGAGGATCTACACGTCTGTATAGGGGTCTCAGAGATATCCAAGGGCTGACATAAAGCTTAAAATGGATTCTTAGACCACTGCACAAAAGTGTTTTTCTCTTTCTCACAAACAACTCTTAACAAAATCCACAATCCAGAAAAAGCTTTACAAAGGGGCTTCAAATATTTAAAATCACATCTATATCATTTTGTGTGTAGGTGTACGTGTGGAAGTCAGAGGACAACATATGCAGTTGGGTCTCTCCTTCTATTACGTGTGTCTTGGGGTGGAACTGAGATTGTTAAACTTGCCATCAGGGGCCCTTTACTCACTGAGCATCTCCTGAGTCCAAGGACTTTGTTTTCAGACAGTGTCATTATATAGCCCTGGCTGGTCTTGAACTTGCATCAATCTTCTTGCCTCTGCTTTCAGAGTGCTGAGATTATAAATATGAGCAATCATGTCCAGCTCTTGTTTCATTGAGACCACGCTCTAACACGGGCTACACTCCCTACCTTGGAAATTTTCTTGAATTAACAGAAATATTATATAGGTAATTTTGTGCATCGATCTCTACCAGCCCCATCAGACAAAGTTTGCTCATGTAGTCCAGGCTGGCTTTATATTCTTTTCTATTTTTTTACATTTATTTATTCTGTGCACTGGAGAGGAGCAAGCTGTGGCCTGTGTGTTTATGTTCAAGTGTGTGTGCAGATCAAGGGAATAGCTTGGGAGAGTTTGTTCTCTCCTCTCACAATGTAATTTCTGGGGATCAGCTCAGACTGTCAGGCTTGTCTGCAAGTGCCTTTACCCTGGCCTTGTGTTCTTGATTTTTTTGGCCTCCGCATCCCAAGTGCTAAAATTATTATGAATGCTCCCAGCTTAAAGGTTCCTCTACCTGCTAAATCAGTTATCATTCTACCACCTGCTTTCAAATTGTGGAATGCTATTCATAACAATATCATTTATCACACTTAACAATTTATGTTATTATTTTTGAGAAAGGGGTTTGCTATGTATGTAGTCCAGGCTGGCTTCCAATTCTTGATGCTCTGATCTTGGCCTCCTGAGTTCAGGAATTACAGACATGGGCTGCCATGCCTGGATTTAATTTACACTATTCTGACATCATTTTAGTCAGATTTGGAGAAGAGATTATTAGCTTTGGTAACCAAAACCTTTAATCAAGTTCTGAGTTCCCCATCTATACTGTGAGCAATCAGAAATCCTTTTTCTCTTTGGTGCTCTGATAGTGCTTGGAATAAAGTAGGGGGGCTGGAGAGGTGGATTGTTCTTCCAGAGGACCTGGGGTCAATCAACACCCAGCACCCACATGATAGCTGAGGCAGAATGATCTCCAGTTTGAGGCCAGCCTCAAACCCTACCGCTACACGGTAAACCCTGTCTCAAAACTAGCAGAAACAACAAATCAAAAAGCTAGACCTGGTGGAACACATCTATAATCGTAACACTCAAGAAGCAGGGGCAGGAGGATTGCCGAATGCCTGAGGCCAGCCTAGGGCGTGAGAGCTCGTGTTTCAAAAATAAAAAAAATGTTTTTATATAAGTATAGGTATTTGTTCTTCATTCAATGATAACTTATTAATGAATGGCTATAAATATTTGGAATTATGTTATTAAATTTAAACCAAAGGGAGAGAAAGTTAGTTTTGGGTCAGCAGTTAATTTTTCTAATTAATGAAGATAAAATGAAAGTAATTACAACTTGTTGAAAGCAATTGGGAAAAAAATTACGACTAGAAACATGATGTCAAATAGTAAGAAAGTACAGCAATGTATTTGCTTAAAGTCAGGGCACTTTCTGAAAAAAAATGCAACCTTAAACAATTTGTGCACTCATTACAGAGCAGTTACAGAAACTAATAAAGTTATGATATCACTAGACAATAAACTCTTGGTCTGGAGAGATGGCTCAGAAGCTACAAGGACTTGTTGCTCCTACACAGGACCCAAGTTCAGTTCCTAGCATCCATACTGGGCTGCTCACAACATCCTTTAACTCCAGTGGGATCCAATACTCTCATCTGGCCTCAAAGGGAGCCCCATACAAACACACAAATCTTTAAAAATGTACTTGACATGCAATGTGTTTGCCTGCTTGGACCTGTTAGCCCTTCACAGTGGATATACACAACTAAGTAGTGGTTCCTATGCTTTTAGTTTTAACTGTACTTTTTTTTTTTTTTTGCACAGATCTACATGTTTTCCCCAGCCCTGTGTGATCTGATCTCTTCGATTGTTATCCTGTGCCGATTTTCTTCTTTTTCAGTTTTTAACTACAATGACAACTTTCTATACTTAGAATCCAGAGTTCTTTCCTACTACGGACGTTTACATTTACTCTTTCCCATGCCTGAACAGTTTTTCAGATTGGTTATTCTTTTTCATACTGAGGATATAAACTCAAACATCCTCCTACAAGAGTAAAAGCTCTGCTGTCAGTTACTGTCTCCTTTATACATCTTTTAGGAGTCTGAAAGTTTGCCGCTCCCAATTCCAGGGAAGATGAGGTCCCGAAACGCTTTGTTAACCCCTCCATCTTCAGGATTTAGAACGGCGCCTGGTCTTTTAAGCAGCAGTCTTACTGTCCGGAAGAGACTGACTGGCGGAGGTGGGGTCATTACTTGCATTTGAAGGGTGAGGACCCCGAAGCTCTTGCCCTAAATTAGAATAAGGACTCATCCGGGCCAGACACAGTCATATTCTAGCTCTAGGTTAAGTATCAACCCCTGTGGTAAAAAGCTTAGCAAAGGCGGAGAGAACACATGGCCTTTCTTCCTCATGCCCAGAACATCCACACAAGTCTCGCCCACCCTGCCGACCGCGGGGCCTTCCCGCCCAGCCCCTGGCTCTGCAGGTCCTTACTAGGTGGGGATGAGAAGGCATTTGAGAAGAGTCACCCCGAGAGCCAAAGCCAAGAACCAGTGGCCACCACTGGCTGCAAGTGTGGACGTCGCCATCCTTGGAGTCCCGTCACTTCCGGGACGCTGCGCATGCGAGTAAGGCCTTTAGAGGCGGTGCCGGCGAGCTCTGCGCATGCGCCACTGCTCAGGGCGCAAGCTGGAGAGCGGGCCAGCATTTAAACCTCCCGCCCAGGCACCATCGTTTTGGACGGGGAAACTCAGCTGCGCCTGCGCGGACCTTTGTGGTGACAGTTAATTTGTTTATTCATTCACTAATTCATTCATTCATTTTGGTTGTTGTTAGTACGTACTTCCATTGAAATGGTGGCTGATCGTCTGTTTTGGGTAGTGATTTTGGGTTGGAGATACCTACGTGAGAAACCCCCCCCCCCCCCCCCCGAGATGTTCAAAGTGGTAGTGGAGACAGTTATCTATTAGTTACTCGGATTAAAGTTCTCGAGATAAAGAATACTGAAAGGCCCCTCAGAACAGGAAGTTAAGTCCAGATACAGAACAAAGTGAGCAGAGATACAGAGCTTAAAACCATTCTGATTCTAGTAGTGTTTTGCTAGGCTCCCTGTGCAGCACCTGCCCCAAGCAGAAGGAGGCCAAAGTATAGTACTTACCACATTTTTGTTATGGTGGTTAGTTCATTCACAATGTTCCTCTGGCTGTCTTGGAACTCACAGAAATCTTTGTTCCTCCGCCTCTGGGGTGCTGGAACTAAAGACTAAAGGCGTGTATCACCACCACTTTTAATTGCACATAATTAAATTGCAAATAATCTGGGTAGCTTGTTAAAACTGACATTGCGATTCAGTGGGATGTCCTAGTACCAGTGCTGCAGGTTCACAAGGGCTGAGGAGGCATATGTAGTGAGTGACATTGTTGGAGTCTGTTGTACTACACCATCTTGATCAAATTAAACCTCTGTGTGCTCTCTCCCTCCCTCCCTCTCTCTCCCTCCTCTTCCTCTTTCTTCTTCCTTAGCTATAATTATGAAAATTAAGAGAATGAATATGAGCCCGGTAGTGGTGGGGGAGCTTGTCTGTAGAGCAAGTTCCAGAACAGCCAGGGCTAACACACACACACACACACACACACACACACACACACACACACACACACACAGAGAGAGAGAGAGAGAGAGAGAGAGAGAGAGAGAGAGAGAGAGAGAATACAAGTTGCTTGAGATGATGCCAAGAAAGAATGGAATGCCCAGTAATGGGTCAGAGAAATTAAATGCCTTACTGAAATATGTATGACAAAGTATTGATATTCATTTATACCTCATTCACAGCTTCATGGACCACCTATATGTTTATGATGCTCAGTTTTATACCTCAAACCCAGCCTTCTCTCACCCTCAGATTCTTATTTCCAGCGGTCTATCTGACATCTCTTGGGTGGGTTCCTTCCTAGCCTCCTTGCCTTTCTCCTCTTCCTCTCCTCTCCTCCCCTCTCCTTTCCTTTCCTCTCCTCTCTTTTCTCCCACACCCTCCTCTCCTCTCCCTTTCTCCCCTTCTCCTTCTTCTTCTCTCTTCTTTTACATCTCTCCTCATGTTGGAGATTGAATTCCCAGGGCTTCACACATCTAGTTAAATGGCCTATTAATGAGCTACATCCCTGCATTTATAAGCATTTTAAGTATTTGTTGATTTTATGTATTTTGAGGCAAGAACTCAATATGTATAGCCCAAGCAGCCCTGAACTCACCCTGGACCCAGGCTGTCCTTCAATTTTCAATTCTCCTGCTTTAGTTTACCAAGTAAATGACGGTCACAGGTTCTTGTGATTAGGACGTGGATATTTTTGGAGGATGTTATCTAGTTTACCACATAACTCACATGTATTATATTTAAAACTGAATTCATGATTGTTTTCAATATTATCCACTTAGAGAAAGACATTGGATATCCATGTTTACTTCCCTCCCACACCTGTTCAATCTGATATGTCACTCACTGTGATAGTGTTTTTCTTTTCTAAAGGGGTCTCTCTGTGTTGCCCAGGTTAATCTTAAATCCCTGGGCTTAAGTAATCCTCTCTCCTTGCTGTTCTACCAAGCACACCTCATTCTAATCCCAACCAGCAACCTCATGCTTCATTGTAGGTGTCTGGTTGGCCTCCAGGTGGCTTATCATTACAATCTACCTGCTTGGTTAAGAAATAATTTCAATGATGAGCCAACTTGGTATTCTAGTTCCTGGTTCTTTTTGATTTTGTGTTTGGAAACAGGGATATTACCTAGGTTAACCTCAAACTCTCCATCCTCTTCCCTCAGCCCTGAGCTTCAATTACAGTCATGTAGGCCACCACAACTGGCCCATCTCATGAGTTTTCTTCCTCCTCTTCCTTTCTCCTTCCTCTCCTTCCTTCCTCTTTGTCTTCCTCTTCTTCCTTTCTTTTCTTTCAAGGCAGGCTCTCACTATGAAGCCTAAGCTAGTTTGGAACTTGTTATCTGCCACTAACTTGTACGTCAAGCTGGCCGAAAAGTTGCAGCAATCATCCTTCCAAGTGCTGGGTTTACAAGTGTCACTGCCATAGCAGGATAACTCATGTGATTTTTTAAAAAGACATTTATTTTTATTTTATGTGTATGGATGTTTTGCCTGCATGTATGTAAGTGTAGCATGTGTTTGCAGTGCCCCCGGAGACCAGATCCTCTGGAACTGGAATTACAGATGATTATGATTGTGAGCTGTCATGTGCATGCTGGGAACTGAAACTAGGTCCTCTGGAAGGGCATCCGGTCTTCTTAACCACTGAGCCATCTCTCTAGCACCCTAGTTTGTGCTTTTTATTCAAGAACACCTGCATTTTTTTCCTGACCCTTCTTTAGTTCCTTAGAACCAGGATAGTGAATAATTCCTTTTCATCTTCTCTGGCTTATGCACTAAATCCCATCAGTACGAACTAGGGTTGTAGTTCAGTGGTAGAGTGCTAGCCTAGCATGCAAGAGGTCCCCTAAGCACTAGGGGAGAAATCTCACCATCTTTTCTATGTTCAGTCCTTGTGTTGAATAGCTTTATGTCAATATGACTCAAGCTACAGTCATCAGAAAGGAGGCAGTCTCAATTAAGAAAATGCCTCCAAAGTCGGTGGTCACACATGTTTTTAATCCTAGCATTCCTGAGGAAGAGGCAGGCAGATCTCTGTGAGTTTGAGGCCAGTCTGGTCTACAGAGCAAGTTCCAGGACAGCCAAAGCTATACAAAGAAACAGTCTCTAAAACCCAAAAATAAAATAAAATGCCTCTATAAGATAGGGTCATAGGCAGGCAAACCTATAGGGTATTCTCTTAATTAGTGATTGATGTGGGATGTCCATTGTGGGTGGGGCCATCTCTGAGCTTGTGGTCCTGGGTTCTATAAGAAAACAGGCTGAGTGAGCCATGGAGAGCAAGTCAGCAAGCAGCACCCATCCACAGCCTTTACATTAGCTTCTGCTTCCAGGTTCCTGCCCTGCTTGAGTTCCTGTCCTGACTTCTTTAATGAAGGACTCTGATGTGGAAGTGTAAGACAGATAAACCCTTTCCTCCCTAAATTGTTTTGGTTATGGTGTTTTATCATAGCAATAGTAATCCCAAACTAAGTTCTCATGTAGGAAAATGTTTGTGTCTTGTGTGTGTGTTTATTATATATTCAAACCCATTTCCTTAACTAGGTTTATTGTTTCTGAAAGAAATAAATGTTTATTTATTTCTTCTTTCCCTTACTCCCTTTCTCTTTCATACCTTCATTTCTGAAATTCTGCTTCTGGCTAAAAGTTCTTGCTGTATCAATCTAGGATATGGTTTTTGTGCTCAGGAATCCAGTGTAGTCTCCAGTCAGCTAATAAAGACTTTTTATTGGCTTAAACCCATGTCCAAATAGTCTTCTCTGTGTATACCCCACAACAACAAGAAAAGTAAGTAATGCTGAGTCTACTTTGAATCCAAAGCGGCAAGGTCAGCTGATCTCCTTTCTCATGTTATGATCAAGCCACTGTGTCAATAATTAGAATTTGAATTTGGAACCAGCTAAGATGATCCATACCTGTGAGCCTAAGGCAGGAGGACTGAGAATTCAAACTCAACCTGGCCTATGTGTAAAAAAAAAATTACTCTTGGTATAGTAGTTCACACCTGTAATCCCAGCACTGGGGAGACAGTATGGGAATCTATTCCTGCCTGGGCTGTTAAGTGAAACTCTGATCTCACAAAACAACACACACACATACACTCACACACACCCACACACACACCCACACACACACACACACACACACACACACACACACGGAGTGGGGAAGAGAGAGAGAGAGAGAGAGAACTTTGAATGACAAAGGTTGTTTTACAACTCCTTGCCTGTGTGTCCTTTTGGCACTGGGACCTCAGTTTCAATATCCTTGTTAACATGTTTGCACAATCATCTCTTCCTTGTGGTGGACAATATCTATTTTATCCTGTTTGCTCACCTTATTTCATTCTCTCTTCCTTAAGCCCCTATTTCATGGCATCACCATAATGGATTAAACAACCAAGGGCTAGGAAGTAGGAATTGTATCCAGAATCAGCATCATTTTATTTCTTACTCCAAACTGAGGGGCTCTAGTGTAACCAGCCTGCTTTTAAAAAGGGCGACTGTTTCCCTAAGAACTGGAGTTATGCTGAGAGTTCAGCGATGGCCTGCTGGCTTTTGATTCAGAAGGGGCAACAATGTCAGCTTTTGTAAGAGGAAGCTTCCATAGCCACTCAGCTCCTGGGTCAGTTGTGTCAGCTCTCAGGTAGCTAAGGACACTGTCTGACTGACATCAAGGTGAGTCATCTTCTGGTTCTTGTGCATCTCCTCTACGGCAAGTACTTTCTTGTGGGTGCTGACCTGGGCTAGTAAGAGCCATGAAGCAGCCAAACCAGATTTGAGATTCCTCTAGTCTGCATCTCTTTGGTTCAATCTTCCATCATTAGTGGGTTTTATAGTTTTTGCTTTTGTGGTGCTACAGCTTGGGGCTTTGCAGATGCCAGGCAAGCGTTTTACCACTGAGTTGTATCCCCCAGGTGGGCCTGGGACACATCCC